AGGTAGACGCTGTTGAGCCTGTCGAGGTCGCTGGTGACTCTGGTGCTGCTGAGGGTGCTGAGCCTGGGGGTGCTGACTCTGGGGGTGCTGAGCGTGTGGGTGCTACGCCTGGGGGTGCTGAGCCTGGGGGTGCTGAGCCTGGGGGTGCTGAGTCTGGGGATACTACGACTGGGGGTGCTGAGCCTGGGGGTACTACGCCTGGAGGTGCTGAGCCTGGGGGTGCTGCGTCTGGGGGTGCTGAGCCTGGGGGTACTACGCCTGGAGGTGCTGAGCCTGGGGGTGCTGCGCCTGGTGGTGCTGTGCCTGGTGGTTCACCGGGTGCTCCCTCTCGCCGGGAGCCACTCTCTCCCCAGGAGCTGCGTGAGTGGTTTGCCCGGCGCTGGAGGCGAGCTGCTGGAGCTGCTGGAGCTGGAGGTGCTGCGGGTACTGGAGGTTCTGTTGCTTCTGAGGGAGCTGGTGCCACGGGTCCCGGAGGTGCTCGTACTGGGAGTACTGGAGCTGCTGGACCTGCGGGTACTTCTGGAGCTGGAGTTGCTGCGGGTGTTGGCGCGGAGGCTACTGCTGTCGGTCCTGGAGGCGGTCCTGCTGGGGGTACTACTGGTGCTGCTGGGGGTTCTGGAGCTGGAGCTGCTACTGGTGCTGGTGCTGCCCCTGGGGTTGCTGGTGCTGTCCCTCCTGTGTCTGGAGTCGCCGCGCGGCCTCGGCCGTACTTCGTTCCGCTCCTTCAGCAGGTTCTTGGTCTCCCGCCTTCTACTGGTCCTCCTCCTCCCTTAGAGTGTCCACAGCCTGTCCCGTCGCAGTTACAGTTACAGCCGGCCTCCCCACTGCCTGCTCCGTCTCCCTACACTGGTCCTACTGGAGGTCTTGCTGAGCGTCGTGAGCCTGCGTCTCGCCCTGCGTCGCCTGTCCGTGCTGCTCGCACTAGTGGTCGCGGTTCGCGTCAGCGTCCTCCTCCTGTCCCTGGCACGCACCGGATGTCTCTGCGTCCGTCCACTGCTCCTCTGCGTGCCCCTTTGCCTTCTCCTCCTGAGTCTTCTCTTCCTACTCTTGCCGACCCGGAGTCGGACTCTCTTCGCCTGCGCCTGGGTGCTACGCCTGGGGGTGCTGAGCCTGGGGGTGCTGAGCCTGGGGGTGCTGAGTCTGGGGATACTACGACTGGGGGTGCTGAGCCTGGGGGTACTACGCCTGGAGGTGCTGAGCCTGGGGGTGCTGCGTCTGGGGGTGCTGAGCCTGGGGGTACTACGCCTGGAGGTGCTGAGCCTGGGGGTGCTACGCCTGGTGGTGCTGTGCCTGGCGGTTCACCGGGTGCTCCCTCTCGCCGGGAGCCACTCTCTCCCCAGGAGCTGCGTGAGTGGTTTGCCCGGCGCTGGAGGCGAGCTGCTGGAGCTGCTGGAGCTGGAGGTGCTGCGGGTACTGGAGGTTCTGTTGCTTCTGAGGGAGCTGGTGCCACGGGTCCCGGAGGTGCTCGTACTGGGAGTACTGGAGCTGCTGGACCTGCGGGTACTTCTGGAGCTGGAGTTGCTGCGGGTGTTGGCGCGGAGGCTACTGCTGTCGGTCCTGGAGGCGGTCCTGCTGGGGGTACTACTGGTGCTGCTGGGGGTTCTGGAGCTGGAGCTGCTACTGGTGCTGGTGCTGCCCCTGGGGTTGCTGGTGCTGTCCCTCCTGTGTCTGGAGTCGCCGCGCGGCCTCGGCCGTACTTCGTTCCGCTCCTTCAGCAGGTTCTTGGTCTCCCGCCTTCTACTGGTCCTCCTCCTCCCTTAGAGTGTCCACAGCCTGTCCCGTCGCAGTTACAGTTACAGCCGGCCTCCCCACTGCCTGCTCCGTCTCCCTACACTGGTCCTACTGGAGGTCTTGCTGAGCGTCGTGAGCCTGCGTCTCGCCCTGCGTCGCCTGTCCGTGCTGCTCGCACTAGTGGTCGCGGTTCGCGTCAGCGTCCTCCTCCTGTCCCTGGCACGCACCGGATGTCTCTGCGTCCGTCCACTGCTCCTCTGCGTGCCCCTTTGCCTTCTCCTCCTGAGTCTTCTCTTCCTACTCTTGCCGACCCGGAGTCGGACTCTCTTCGCGCTGCCAGTCCTACTGTCACGCGTCTCCTTGCTACGGTTGTCACTGACCCTTCCTTTGAGTCCACTGCTGCGTCTGCTCTAGTTGCTGAGCTCGTCGACTTTGCTGCTCGCTGTCGCCTAGACTACGTCGCCAGTCTTGTTGCTGAGTCTGAGTCTGTCTGTCCTCCGTCCGTCGGGGGTGAGTGTGCCCTTGGCACGGACGTCCTTGAGGACAGGCAGGAGGAGTTCCAGTGCTTGGCCGCTGCTTCACCTCATCTCGTGTCCGTACTGCTTACCCCTGAGGGAGACCCGGATGCACTTGACATCCCGACTCCGCGCTCTTACGCGGAGGCGATAGAGGGTCCCTACTCCTCTCAGTGGCAGGCAGCTATGGACGCAGAGATGGCTTCCTGGAAGTCCACAGGCACCTACGTTGACGCTGTTCCCCCTCCTGGGGCGAACATCGTCAGTGGCATGTGGATTTTCAGGGTGAAGCGACCGCCGGGTTCTCCGCCTGTCTTCAAGGCGCGTTACGTGGCTCGTGGCTTCAGTCAGCGGCAGGGAGTTGACTACTTTCAGACCTTCTCTCCCACCCCGAAGATGACCACTCTTCGGGTACTGCTGCACGTAGCTGCTCACCGTGACTACGAGCTACACTCTCTTGACTTCAGCACTGCTTTCTTGCAGGGCAGCCTGCACGAGGAGATCTGGCTGCGTCGCCCACCTGGCTTCACTGGGTCTTTTCCTCCTGGCACCCAGTGGAGCCTACGGCGGCCAGTCTACGGTCTCCGCCAGGCACCGCGTGAGTGGCACGACACACTGAGGACTACACTTGCGGCTCTTGGGTTTGCTCCCTCTACTGCCGACCCGTCGCTGTTTCTGCGCACCGACACTTCTTTGCCGCCGTTCTACATCCTCGTGTACGTCGACGACTTGGTCTTTGCCACAGCTGACACTGCTGGACTAGCCCACGTGAAGTCCGAGCTGCAGAAGAGACATACGTGCACTGACCTGGGTGAACTGCGCAGCTACCTTGGCTTGCAGATCACTCGGGACAGAGCACGCCGCACCATTACCCTGACTCAGTCACACATGGTGCAGCAGGTCCTTCAGCGCTTCGGCTTCACGTACTCCTCGCCTCAGGCCACTCCTCTGCCTACTCGCCACTCGCTCTCAGCTCTGCCTTCGGATGAGTCCGTAGAGTCGAGTGGCCCGTACCCAGAGCTTGTTGGCTGCCTCATGTACCTGATGACCTGCACACGACCTGACCTTGCATACCCTCTTAGCATTCTTGCACGCTATGTTGCTCCTGGGAGACACAGACCGGAGCACATGGCTGCAGCGAAGAGGGTGTTGCGCTACTTGTGCAGTACGTCGGGCATGGGGCTTGTGCTTGGAGGGCAGAGTCCAGTGGTCCTTACTGGGCACGCAGACGCTTCTTGGGCTGACGACCAGGCTACGCAGCGGTCGTCACAGGGTTACACCTTCAGCCTTGGTTCCGGCTCTGTTTCGTGGCGGGCTACTCGCTCGTCTTCTGTTCTCGGTTCCAGTTGTGAGGCTGAGATCTACGCAGGAGCCATGGCTGCACAGGAGCTTCGCTGGCTCACCTACCTGCTGACTGACCTCGGAGAGTTGCCTCGTTCTCCTCCAGTGCTGTACGTAGACAACAAGGCCATGCTGGCCTTGTGTCGGGAGCAGCGACTGGAGCACAGAACGAAGCACATTGCTCTCCGCTACTTTCTTGCTCGTGAGCTGCAGCAGCGTGGTCAGCTGCGTCTTGCGTACGTGGCCTCTGAGGCCAACACTGCTGATATCTTCACCAAGGCACTTGCGCCTTGTGACCATCAGCGCTTCTGTACTCAGCTGGGCCTTGTGCCTACCTTGCCTCACTTGCTCACCTCTTGACCTTGCTTGTACTGTTACATATATATATACCTGCTCTTGTTTGTCTAGCCTTTTTTATATATATGTGTACTCCTTCTTGTGAACTGGCCTTGTGGCCTTGAACTTGTGCTCGGAATCTGTGGTGACTTTGTGATCCACCCTGAGCTTGTTTTGCTTTGCTTTGCTTGACTGGTCTTGTGACCCCTTGTTCTCCCCCACTTTGCCTATGGGGGTGTGTCAGATTTATATGACATAGCTACTGTAGGCTATAGTGGGGTAGCACATATGGGGTACAGTTTTTCTAGGGTTTGCTTCTTGTACCCAACTTTCACTTAGTCATTTCATTCCTCGTTTCTTCTCAATCACCTCATTATGCTATCGTAAAGAGCGTAGCTTTTTTTCCGTTGGTTGATTCTGTACCTTCTACCATACCATCAGTTAGAGTTCCATATGTGTTTTAGCATTGTAAAATGCAATTTCCATATGTAGAAATTCATACCTTTGTAACACCCTACTGCAATTTGACTTCAAGCGGAGCATGCTACAATCTGGTATGGCAAACCCAATGTCCTCCCGTCCTGCCGTGACAAGCAGCAGATGCCGTGTACAATGGGGTACGTAGCAGCTTATCTGCTCTTCTATCGAGACGAGTAAGCACTAACTACCACCGCCATGCACGCTCCTTTCGGCCTGCCCGCGACGTGGCAGCGGCATCACTCGAGCCACATGTCGCGGCGTTGGAAATCACGAAGCGCGGGGAGCATTGTGTTATGCACCAACTAAATCTGAACCATCTCGAACCGAACCGCATGTCGCATGCCTCCTATCATTCCGCCCTCCCCGCTGTTCCTCTTCTCTCTCGTCCCTCTCCCCTCCGGCGTTCCACGCTGATAGATTCAATACGGGCGACATCTCCTCCCCTGTTTACCCTTGCGTATCGTCCTCGCTCCTCGCAATATTTTTCTTGGCATAACGCTCAGCAGCCCTTGAAAGAGCTCCGTTCAGCCAGCTCTAGCTGTATCTCGTTCTCCTATTCTCACAGAATATTTATTCGTGGGGTTTTCTTGAAAAGGCATGATGTTTTTCACGTGGTATGGCCTCGTGTTCATCACCGTCCTCTTCGTCCTCCTCTCCCCGGGGATGCTGCTGCAGGTACGTTCCAGCTACTCTCCAATCGTCAGTTTGCGACAATATGAAGCCTAGATTGTTTCAAGTTCGCTCTGGGTTGCTTCAGGTTCGCCCTGGATTGCTTCAGGCTCGTTGTAGGCTGCTTCAGCTTTGATTTGATCACCAATAAAACTGGGTGTGGTAGATCACATGTGCTCATATGTTTTGAGCATGGCGTGGTGTCTATATAGATCTGATATGAAGGCCAGAGTAAGCCAGAGTAAGCCAACCATTGAAAACCATGCGCATGATTTCACGACTCGAGCCTTCAGTTTCTTATTCGAGTTCTTCCCTCTCCGCTCTACCCGACCTCCTTCACATCCTTCTCCCTTCCCTCCCCATTGGTACCCTTTCCTTCAGATCCCAGGAGACAACCAGCCAGTGGGGTTTCAGAACTGGCGCACGTCGCTGCCCTCCGTGGTGGTGCACGCAGTAGTCTTCCTCGCCCTCATCCTCCTCTCCCACTGTCTTTTCCCCATACCCCCACCCCCCTCCCACTCTCCCCTTTTCCTTCATGCAGATCCCAGGAGACAACCAGCCGGTGGAGTGTCAGAACTGGTGCACATGCTGTCTAACTCACCCTCATCCTGCTCTTTAAACTGGCTATTCCTTTCCCCCCCCCTCACACCTTCCACTGGCTCTTGCCCCATGCAGATCCCAGGGGACAACCAGCCAGTGGAGTTTCAGAATTGGCGCACCTCTTTGCCATCAGTGGTGGTGCACGCCGTAGTCTTCCTCGCCCTCATCCTGCTCTCCAATTGGCTCTTCCCTTCCTTTCTACACGGGTAGATGAGAGCAAGTGTGGGCCTTGGAAGCTCTCAATTGCACCAAGTCATGTATAGATGAGAGTGGCTAGGCTCCTGCTGGATAGTCTGTAGGTCGGGTGTGTGTATAAAGGTCTTGTCTTGGTGTAATAGAACATTCATTTGTGTATACCTGTTGCATTTGTGATCAATTTGAATGTTGGATTAATCAGCCCCAGTCCAGTTGGTTCAATGTGAACATGGTTCAGGAGCTTTATGGGTCTTGCATTCAACTAGAGATGAGAAAGACGCCAAAGGCAATTGCTTCAAACGATACGAACTACGGTATCTACCATGTTAAAAAGACCACAAACGCGAGAAAGCTATTCCAACAATTACCGTATTTTGGTACAGTACAGTACATGAGCTGCATGCATTGCATTCAACCGTGGGGGTTTCGATTGAACATGTGTTACCATAACTGGAACTGAGAACGATATGTCATCTCTTGTTCCCATTCCCATACCAGACAACAGCGCCTTCCTACACGGCTCGGTGTCAGAAGGGGAAGGAAGAGAAGAGAGTACACTTGGTGAGATTGAGAGGGGAGACAGTGGAGTGGAGTAGACCCTAGCGAGTCCTTGCTGCTTCCACCCACACTCCCCACTCCACAATCCCACTCACCCTACTCCTCCACCTCCCACTTCACCAACCCCCCTCAGCCTTCCCCAACACGACCTCCCCCCACTCAATCCGTTTCCCACTCCGCCTTCCCCCTCTCCCCCCCTCTTCACCTGCCTCCCCACCAACGCTCACACTCAGCTTAGGCAGCACTTCGACGAGCTGGTGACTAGTTCACTGCTTACAAAAAAGGTTTCACTGCTTCCTAGCAACCCTCGGTCACCTCCTTCTCCCCCCCCCTCAACCGCAGTCCCACCAAGACTCATGCTCATCTTAAGCAGCACCAGAAAGTGTTCGTGCCGAGATGACTGCCCATGCATCACCTTCTATGGGTGCATCACCTTCTATGGGTGCATCACCTTCTATGGGTGCATCACCTTCTATGGGTGCATCACCTTCTATGGGTGCATCACCTTCTATGGGTGCATCACCTTCTATGGGTGCATCACCTTCTATGGGTGCATCACCTTCTATGGGTGCATCACCTTCTATGGGTGCATCACCTTCTATGGGTGCATCCCCTTCTATGGGTGCATCACCTTCTATGGGTGCATCACCTTCTATGGGTGCATCACCTTCTATGGGTGCATCACCTTCTATGGGTGCATCACCTTCTATGGGTGCATCACCTTCTATGGGTGCATCACCTTCTATGGGTGCATCACCTTCTATGGGTGCATCACCTTCTATGGGTGCATCACCTTCTATGGGTGCATCACCTTCTATGGGTGCATCACCTTCTATGGGTGCATCACCTTCTATGGGTGCATCACCTTCTATGGGTGCATCACCTTCTCTTCTTTTCCGACAGCACCCACAGCAGCACTGAGGGTCTCCTCTCCTCCCCTTGGCCCGCCACCCCACCAACACTCAAACTCATCTTCGGCAGCACCGGCAAGTGTCGGTGCCAAGATGACTGCTCAGGCACAACCTGTTACCCTTCCCAACAACCCTCACAAGTTCACCCGTCTCCCTTCCCCCTCACCCGCTACCCTACCAACTCTCACACTCATCTTGGGCAGCACCGGGAAGTGTTGGTGCCAAGATGGCTGCTGAAACATCACCTCCTCTCACTTTCCAGCAACTCCCACAGCAGCACTCAGGCTCTACTCTCCTCCCCTTGGCCTGCCACCCCACCAACGCTCACACTCATCTTAGGCAGCACCCGGAATTGCTGGTGACTGGAAAAAAGCTCAGACACAGCCTTTCACGACTTCCCATCATAACCCGCAGTCACCTTCTCTCCTCCCCTTGCCCCGCCACCCCACCAACGCTCGCGCTCATCTTAGGCAGCACCGGGAATTGCTGGTGCCAAGATGGCTGCTGAAGCATCTTTCCAGCAACTCCCACAGTACCACTCAGGCTCTCCTCTCGTCCCCTTGCCCCGCCACCCCACCAACGCTCACACTCATCTTAGGCAGCACCGGGAATTGCTGGTGCCGCGGCTTCCAGGAAGCGGGCCACTCCCGTGAGCTCTGCCGCTGCTGATCTGATAAAGTCGACGCATACTGCTCGAGCAACACTCCCGTGCATGGGTCATGGAGCACAGTGTAGGGGTCGTGAAGGGTTGTGGCGTCGTGCAGGACAGTGTAGGGATCGTGAAGTAAGCTCATTCTCCACAGCACCTCCTCTGTCATCCACCCCCGCCCCTTGTGTGGGAGGATCTTGGAGGATGGGGAGACGAAACCCGCTATGGGACGAGGCGTGCCGCCCATGACCGCCTTTTGGAAGTACTCGAAATCGGAGTCGTAGTGTGGATTTTGGGGCGGTGTGAAGGCTGGGTGAGGGGGGGAGGAGGAGGTGGAAGAGGAGGAGGTGGAGGAGGAGGAGGAGGAGGAGGAGGAGGAGGAGGAGGAGGAGGAGGAGGAGGAGGAGGAGGAGGAGGAGGAGGAGGAGGAGGAGGAAGCATTTTCCCGAGATGTCTCAACGTTCGATTCAACTCCACTACCAGTAGCTACACAAGAAACTTCTCTAGCTTCTCTACCCTCCTCCATTGTCCATTGCCCCTCCACTGCCCTTCGCCTTGAGGAGGGTTCTCGAGCCTCCTCCTCAGTTGTTGCGGGCCCAGCACCAGCACCATCGGCTCTAGCCGCTTCCTCCCCTCCCACTCCTTCTCTGCCTCTGTCCCCTTCCATACAATCACACCCCCTTCCTTCCCTCATCCCCTGTTCCTCTGGCTGACTGTCTTTGGAAGCCACACACCCCTCGTTATTTTCCCGAGATGTCTCAACGTTCGATTCAACTCCACTACCAGTAGCTACACAAGAAACTTCTCTAGCTTCTCTACCCTCCTCCATTGTCCATTGCCCCTCCACTGCCCTTCGCCTTGAGGAGGGTTCTCGAGCCTCCTCCTCAGTTGTTGCGGGCCCAGCACCAGCACCATCGGCTCTAGCCGCTTCCTCCCCTCCCACTCCTTCTCTGCCTCTGTCCCCTTCCATACAATCACACCCCCTTCCTTCCCTCATCCCCTGTTCCTCTGGCTGACTGTCTTTGGAAGCCACACACCCCTCGTTATTATCACAACCTCCTTTCTTCTCACATCCCTCATTATTATCACGCCCCCCATTCTTCTCACAACCTTCGTTACTATCTGCACTCCTACTAGCACATCCGTTCTGTGCTTCTCTTCCCCCAATCCCTCCACTCAGCACTGAACCTCTTCCCCGCTCCAGGCAGCTCAAAAGATTTGCATCCTGCCCGAGATAAGTCAGACCCTGTTTCCTAACCGCTTGCATTTGAGCCTCTATCTCTGCTCGGGTTCTCCCCATCACATATCTCCCCTCTCCCTCCCCATCCCCCCCTCCTCCGCCTCCTTCTCCTCCCTCTGCCGCTGCTGCATCAGCAGCATCAAGGGCTGCTAGTAACTCAGCAGGTTCCCTCCCTTGCAGAACGGGAATAGGGGCAGAATGAGGCACTGGTCCTTGTGACTGCAGAGGTAGCGGGGACGGTGGGAGTGGGATTGGTGGCTGTGCTGCTAGTGATTCCGGGGGTTCTCTGCCTTGCGACTGCAGTGGTAGTGGGATTGGTGGCTGTGCCAGAGACAAGTGTGAAATTGGCGGTTGAGATTGAGTCTGTACATGCGACTCTGGGAGTGGGAGTGACTGTTCCTGCTGTTGCTGTCGTTGCCGCTGGTGTTCTTGTTCTTGCTGCTGTTGCTGTTCCTCCTGCTGTGCCAGTTGTTGCTGCTGCTCCTGTTCCTGTTCCTGTTGCTGTTGCTGTTGCTGTTGTGTCTCCCCCACTACTGAGTCTTTTTGCCCTTCGTTTCTTGCCACCGAATCGCCAGCCACCTGCAATCCCTGCTCACAGGACCCACCTTCCCCAAATGCCACCTCCCCTCCTCCTGCAGATACCACCTCCCCACCACCAGCAGATGACACCTCCCCCAGCCGTTCGTACTTGATGATCTGGGCGGCAGCTGCGAGGGCCTGCTTGGCCATGAGCGGGTGGCATTCCTTGCCCCGCCAACAGTATACTTTTGTCCGTATCTGAGTGTGAGACAAGTCGGGGACGGGGAGGAGGAGAGGAGGAAATGGGAAGGATTGAGGAGTGGGGAAAGGAGGGAGGGGGAAAGGGAGAGGGAGCAGCAGAGAAAGGCCATGAAAGAAATAACACACTTCTCCACACCAGCAGCACATTGCAAAAGGAGAGTTGAGAGGCAATTGTTTTACGGAGAGAGACGCCTGTGGCATTAAGGGGAGGCAATCACCTTGTCAGTGAGATGAGAAGGAAAGACTTTTGAGTCGACTCGAAAGTCAGCTCTTGAGTCGACTCGAAAGTCAGCTCTTGAGTCGACTCGAAAGTCACCCTTGAGTCGACTCGAAAAACTTTTGAGTCGACTCAAAAGAGACGCCTGTGGCATTAGGGGAGGCAATCACCTTGTCAGTGAGAAGGGAAGTTGAGAGGGTATCACCGACTCTATAAGGAGAGTGAGTGAGTGAGAGTGAATCACCTGCACAATGAAGGCCCCTCGTGGGTCGAGCGAGTGGCGGGAGAGGGCGGTAATTTTCGGCACCAAGTGCAGTGCGTCGTACGGCGAGTGCGGCGCCATGCGGTACATGTGACAGCTGCCTGCCGCCCCTGATGCCTCCTCTGCCGCCCCTGATGCCTCCTCTGCCGACCCTGACGCCTTCTCTGCCGCCCCTGATGCCTCCTCTGCCGCTCCTGACGCCTTCTCTGCCGCCCCTGATGCCTCCTCTGCCGCCCCTGACGCCTTCTCTGCCGCCCCTGATGCCTCCTCTGCCGCCCCTGACGAGTCTGCTGCCCCCAATGCTACCCTTCGTGCTGGCTCTGATGCTACCGCTGCCCCTGATGCCAGTGCTGATTCTGCAACTGATGAGCGTGCTGGTTGTTGCGGTGCTGGCAGTGGTGCTGGCAGTGGTGCTGACAGCGGTGCTGGCGCTGATTTTACCTGCCCATTGGAGTCATCAGAACCACCTTTTGCCTTTGCTGCTAGTGACTCTCCTTCTGGTGCTGCCGCTGCTGCTACTGCTCCTGATTCTGCCTCAGCAACAGCAGCACCAACGCCAGAAGCAGTGGCAGCAACAGCAGCAGCAGGAGCAGCAGCAGGAGCTGGACCAGCAGGGGGGAGAGCGGTGGGTTGAGGCGTGGGGGGCGGATCGAGGGCGGAGGGGGGGAGGATGCGCGTCTGCCACTGCAGCAGCTGGCATGCAAACCCCATGTTGGGGTTGGCCACTGCCCTCAGCGCCTTGACTCGCTTGAACGCGTCCCCAAAGGGAATGCCCTGCAGGAATGGAGAGAATGGGGTGGAAGGAAGTGGGAGGGGGTTGAGAGCGGTGGAGGGCGCATGAGATTGAAATGAAACTCATGTTGGGGTTGGCTACTGCTCTCAGCGCGTTCACCTGCTTGAACGCGTCTCCGAAGGGTGCAGAACGGAAGAGGGTGGAAAGGGGTGGAATGGGTGGAAGGAGGTGCACGGGGGTTGAGAGCGGTGAACAGGAGCACGGGGTTGAAGCCCATGTTGTGGTTGGCCAAAGACCTCAGCGCATTCACCCGCTTGGATTCGTCTGTGGGGAGGGAAGGAGAGGAGGGTTGGAAGGGGTGGGAGGGGGTTGAGAGCGGTGGAGAGCATGAAATTGAACCCAATGTTGGGATAGACCTCGGGCTATGGGTCTCAGAGCTTTCACCCTCTTGAGGAGGGTGAGTGGTTGAAGCTCCTGGAAGCTGTGAGTGCCTTAACCCACTTTGGCTCGGTGTGGCTCGGTTTGGTTCGAATGAACACACACACACACCTCGCACCACAGGCAACCGCAACACCCAGTGTGATCCCTGCACTGCACACACGCACCCACACACCCACCTACCTACCTACCCACACAACCACCCACCCACACACCCACCTACCTACCTACCCACACAACCACCCACCCACACACCCACCTACCTACCTACCCACACAACCACCCACCCACACACCCACCTACCTACCTACCCACACAACCACCCACCCACACACCCACCTACCTACCTACCCACACAACCACCCACCCACACACCCACCTACCTACCTACCCACACAACCACCCACCCACACACCCACCTACCTACCTACCCACACAACCACCCACCCACACACCCACCTACCTACCTACCCACACAACCACCCACCCACACACCCACCTACCTACCTACCCACACAACCACCCACCCACACACCCACCTACCTACCTACCCACACAACCACCCACCCACACACCCACCTACCTACCTACCCACACAACCACCCACCCACACACCCACCTACCTACCTATCCACACAACCACCCACCCACACACCCACCTACCTACCTACCCACACAACCACCCACCCACACACCCACCTACCTACCTACCCACACAACCACCCACCCACACACCCACCTACCTACCTACCCACACAACCACCCACCCACACACCCACCTACCTACCTACCCACACAACCACCCACCCACACATCCACCTACCTACCTACCCACACAACCACCCACCCACACACCCACCTACCTACCTACCCACACAACCACCCACCCACACACCCACCTACCTCCCTACCCACACAACCACCCACCCACACACCCACCTACCTACCTACCCACACAACCACCCACCCACACACCCACCTACCTACCTACCCACACAACCACCCACCCACACACCCACCTACCTACCTACCCACACAACCACCCACCCACACACCCACCTACCTACCTACCCACACAACCACCCACCTACCCACGCACCCACCAGGCCACTCACTCACCCAACCAACCACCCACCCACCCAATGCAGCCCAATGCCCATTGCCCAGTCCCAGTGCTTCCAATCACCCACCTCGCGCCACATGAGGTAGGCAATCACGAGCGACGTGGAGCGCGAGATGCCCTGGCAGCAGTTGGGGTAGGCACCAGCACCTACACACCCAAAATGTCACCCCTCCCACCCATGCTGCACACTCCATGTCCCCCACACTGCACCCACCTCGCACCACATGAGGTAGGCAATCACGAGCGACGTGGAGCGCGAGATGCCCTGGCAGCAGTGGATGAACACGCGGCCCCTCGCCGCCCTTACAGCCTCGATGTAATCAAACACGTCGTATAAGACGCGCACCAGGTCCTCGCCCGTGTTGTCCTGAGGGAGGGGAGGGGTGGGGAGGGATGCAATTGGGTGTAGAAATGAATGGGAGAGGTGGGGGGGTGTGCAGTGCATTGAACAACCCCTTCACCCGCCCTGATAGGGGGAAGGGAGAGGAGAGGGATGGAAAGGGATGGAAATGGGTGGAGCAGGGAAGGGAGAGGTGGGGGGGTGTGCAGTGCAGTGAACAACCCCTTCACCCGCCCGCACGGCCTCAATGCAATCAAACACGTCGTATAAGACGCACACCAGGTCCTCGCCCGTGTTGTCCTGAGGGAGGGGAGGGAGAGGTGAAGGGGAGGGGGGAGAGGAGGAAGGGGACAGTTAATATTCTCAGCCTCGCTCACAACCTCAATGTGGTCAAACACGTTAAACAAGACATACAGCAGGTCCTCGCCCGTGTTGTCCTGAGGGATGAGAGGAAAGGGGAGGGAAAGAGGGAGGGAAGGGATAGGTGTGTGTGTGTGTGTGAGTGTGAGCGCGCGCGTGCGTGCGTGCGTGTGTGCGTGTGTGGGTGGGGGGGGGAGAGGGGGGGGGTGGGTTTGGGTGGGTGCGAGCGTGCGTGCGCACACATGCACATTTACACACAATCCACAATGTAGCAGCATCCGACCGCAGCCAGAGAACTAGTAACCTCACCTGCAGCCAGAGCGTCTTGTACTTAATCTCCTCTGGAAAATACTCGGGGCACACAAACCCCACGCAGTTCAGCACATGCGTGATCCCAGCCTCCTTAAGAACCTCCCTGCTTCTCGCTACAAAGTCGCTCCCCACATATACATGCTCCAGCACTCGGCTACAGTCCTTTTCGAAAATCGCGAACTTATCCCGCCTGGCTTGCGCTTCCTGCGCCTCCCGCGCAAAATCCCGCTCCCCCCTGCTCCGCTGAAGCGCGCCCATGTCTAGTTTAAACCCACCGGGACCCCTCCCGGGCCTGTTCAGCCCTGGCACCTCGCGCCTGCTCGCCAAGCCTCTTCCCGAGCCTGCAGCTGCGGTTCGGCGGTTGATCAGGGACAGTCCCGCGGAGTTTTCCCCACTGCTGGCGCTTCTCCGCGCGGAAAGTCGGCGGGGGTTGGCCAGCGCGAGCGGGGGGGCGGGGGAGGCCTGAAGGGTGTCTAGAGACGCGCGCCCGGGGAGAACGAGACCGTTCCGCGCAGGGGAAGCGGGCGCGGGGGCGCAGGCGGAAGCGGAGGCGGAAGGGGAGGCGGAAGAAGAGGGTTTGAGGGCGGAAGAAGGGGAATCGGCGGAAGGTTCAGGTATCAGGGTAGAACCGTTTCCGCAACTCTCTGTGTGCCTGGGGCTACCGCGGTCAGTATAATCACCTGTGACTATAGGGCTCTGGGACTTTAACGGAGTAACTGGCGTAACATCTGACATGGAGTTACTCGGGTTAGGGTTACGCAGCGTCGTTGCTGCTGCTGTGTTAAGGGTAGGTGGATTAAGGTCACTCGCGTTACTACTAGCTAAGGGGTCGTCTTCTCTTTGCTCGGGCTTGCCTGGTGCGATAAGAACAGCTTCGGTGCAGGAAGCGGAAATCGTCGCGGAATCACCGTCAACAGCAGCAGCAGCAGCAGCAGCAGCAGCAGCAGCAGCAGCAGCAGCAGCAGCAGCAGCAGCAGCAGCAGCAGCAGCAGCATTGGTAGCGGCATTGGTGGCGGCATTAGAAGCAGCAGCAGCACGAGTAGCAGCGTCGTCGCCTGGGGTGCATTCAGAGATTATGCCCATCCTTGATTCATAAATGGCCGTTGATTCATGCGCACTACACGGCTCGCATGTTTCGCCGCCGTCCGCAAAACCTGGCGGTGCTCCCGCGTCTCCTGCCACGTGTCCCGCCACATGTCCTGCCGCGTCTCCTGCCGCGTGTCCTGCCACGCGTTGCCTTGCGGTGAGTTCTCGAAAGGAATCTCTTCCATTGAACGATGCCGACTTGAGTCGCATCTTATGTCTTGCCACGTCATCTTCACGCCCTGCGTCGTCGGCTTTCGACGAGACAGAACGGCTGGTCTCGGAGTTCTTCATTATCCTTCCACCTTCCGTCACCCCTTCCAATTGCACCGCCGCTTCCGAAGCGGACATAACGAGGACAGAACTTCTGAGGCGCCTCAGAAATATGACCGAGGATAAACCACCTGCCTTGGTAGTGTGCAGTCTAAAGTGTTTGATGCAGGTGTATCGAAAGGTGCAGGAAGGAGAATCTGTGCAGATCAACGGCTGTGAGCAGCTGGCGAAAAACACGAAAATGCTGGCCGCGTTTCTAGCTGTTAGCTGTTGCCAGTAAACTACGGAATCGACACTAGCACTACGACTAGCCACGTGGCGGCGTCAAGTTACACGACGAAATGACACAATGGACGCGGCAGGCAATTTTGAGGAGTCTAAGAAATCGAGGTGACAGAATGCACGAGCAAGCGAGCACTTCCCGTCCACCAAGCAAGCACGTCACCGATGAACCGAGTGACCGAAAGCAGCAATACCCGGCAAGGCTTGCATACGGAAAATGGCGACCACAGGAGGCAAGTAACAAGGTCAGGGGAACTAACAACTAATCGTGCGTCCATACCATACATTACCTACCCTATTGCCTAAACTGACGGATAATCACTATTTCCTGGTTCAATCATAAGCAAGGTCCGTTCCGTTCATGGTGATGAGTGGTGCAGCGTGGTTCAATGCAACCTTCCGTCCAAACGTGTTTCTACAGTCATGGCGACCACTGCCAGTCTTTCGACTCGTCGACACACACATCCAACTCTGCCCAGAAGTCCTACTACTGCCCAGGGTGAAACGAAAAAAACGTAAAAGCCAGCATAGGAGGGATGGGGCTTTCGGGCAACTCTGGCAGTCGAATGAACCTTTTAGTTCCATCAGGTGGAAGTGGCCACACTTAGTTATTTTTCGGCAAGGCCGTCGCTGCCCTAATCGTTCCTTCACAGCGGGCATTGCCTTCCTGATCGCCTGGTACGGATCTAGACTAGAACCCCACCAACGACAGCGGCGCCCTTGGCCCAACCAAACCCGCGCCAAGCCTCGCCAGTGGTTCGGCTTGACCTACAAAGCGCAGACAAGGCACCTGACCTACGACAGGTATCGGGTGTACGGAGAAATATCCCTGTTTTTAGCATATCGTTATGTATAGATAAGGCTACATGAGTAACACGAAGTGGTGATGGTGGTATAACAGTCTGCCCTCCGTAATCACAATTCAATCCCCACTCCATACGAGCACGCTCAAGTTGCAGCTTTTCCCATTCTGCATTTCCTCCTGCTTCCCTAAACCAATTCATAAGCAATTACTTCTCATAGCTACTAACAACTGCTACTAGCATTCGACGCGTCAATTGCGCGGATCCCGACTCTGAATCTATTTTTGAACCAAAATGGGTTTCGGAAGTAAGATCTCCGCCTGTCTTTCCTTGTCTTTCAACCAATGAGTAACCATAGAGCCACCCCAGTTGCAATGCAACGGCGCGAAACCAGGACCCGCAACAAACCAAGGCATTTGTGCATCATTTCCGGCAGCCATACTTCGACTATCACTCGCATCTCACCCACGCAACGACGCCTGGTTTCACCTTTCGCCATTGTTCGCAGGTCAATCCGTGGTAACCCGCGCGCTGGACAAGGCGTTCTACGAGTTCGCGGAGTTGGACCGCACGCCGGACCACGAGGGCCGGCAAGTCATCAACGCCGCGGAGCTCTACGCCTGCGTGCTGCTCGCGTACAAGTGAGTAGTGCAATGCACTGTAGCGGGGAAATGCAAGGCAGCGCAACGCCTGTCAGCAGGTCTGGTTGCAAACGCCTATTAGTAGGTAGCGCAATGCCTAGAAGGACGTAGGCAGCGCCTGTAAGAGGCAGCGCAGCACGCCTTCACGGACGTAGCCTATCGCCTTGCGTGCTGCCTGCTTTTCAGTGCCGTAGGTCATCCTTTAACAACACTGACTAACTTTCAGTTGCTTCATTTGGCCTGTTGTCCTTTTATGCGTTATCCGTGAATTGAATGATCGAGTGTTTTTCTTACTTTCTTTTTGAAACCTTTGGTCTCTCAACCACCCTGTGCTGCCAGCTATGTGAATAAGTATTCCCCAGGGTCGCACCTGGATCCCCCTAAGAAGACAGAGGTGTTCAGAATGATGCAGGTGAGCATAGAAAACCAGAGCATGGCCCCAGAGCAAACAGAATGCAGGTGAGCATAGAAAACCAGAGCATGGCCCCAGAGCAAACAGAATGCAGGTGAGCATAGAAAACCAGAGCATGGCCCCAGAGCAAACAGAATGCAGGTGAGCATAGAAAACCAGAGCATGGCCCCAGAGCAAACAGAATGCAGGTGAGCATAGAAAACCAGAGCATGGCCCCAGAGCAAACAGAATGTAGGTGAGCATAGGGAACCAGGGCATGGCTCACGGTAACCAGAGCAAGCAGAAGTTGAAACTCAGCAGAAGCACCCATACCATAAGAAGCATACGTGTCAACAGCCACATGAGGCCCGTGCTGCTTGTCCGTGTTATTGCATGTGGCAAACTACATCCCCTGAACCACCACTTTGAGACTAGGTAAAGTGTCCTGCAGCCACCTTCTTGGGCAGCGTTTCACGTTCAAACTCCGGTTTTTCTGCTTGCTTGACTGTTCCCTGCCAGACGTTTGACCTGAATAGCGATGGCGTGCTGGACCGTGCCGAGTTTGAACGATTCGTGGAGAGCTTTGCCAAGAACTTGACAAGGCGGGCAATAGTCAATGCTGCTGCCGTGTGCGCAGCTGTTCCAGCTCTCGTGTTTCTGACCAAGGCGTCCCTCAAGGAGTTTGAACCAACACACAAGATCGGGAAGAAGATCCCTCCGGCCTTGTTAGCCTGTGTTTTCACTACCGTACTTAAGATCGCGGGTCTGTGCTAGTTGCACATACCGTACTAACGTGGTAGCAGCTGCAACATTATCTGTAGAAATGATTTGCACGTGCTCGCAACACCACTGACACCATGAGTGTATGAAGCCTATCATACAGTACGCTGTACGATTATTCAACCACATGTTTTGAGCTGTACCTGTAGCTGATGCTTGATACCTATCATTGACACTTTCAATAGACCACTGTGGTATCATAGACACTCATGAAGCATACCATGGCAAAGTGAACGGGGTTTCATCGCCAAGAATATTGAGGGACAAGCTGTTGTGTTCGTCATTCTGTGTATGTTTTGTTAGAATAGCTCCTGCAATCACCCAGGATAGCATATAAGCAACATTCATAAGCAGCTCACCTTAGTGCAGGACCTTGTATTTCAGCTCTCACCTTATTGTATGATGTCAAGTCTTTCAATATGCAAATCTGCGCGTGCCACCGAGTTAGTATTATGGAGGCAAGTCTTATTCCCTATCATCCCGCCAATTCCTTGGGCGAACCGTCGTCAGGGATGCAGGTGTTGGGCGCGTGTCTAGGATTTTTTTCGCCGAAAGGAGGTGATGCCCAACGCAGCTTTCCGAGCCTCACCCCAAAAATGTCAGGTTGGGCCAGTGAGTAGCCAAGCCTCCGGCTTGGCACCTGCACAGCCAGCTTATTGGCTGCCTTGGACATTGGCAACCGTTCCCGCTTGTGGGAAATTGCCCAGGCTTGGCAAACAGGAAGGCTTTTCCTTTCTGACAGGGTCCCCTCATCGAGTGCTGTGATTGATGGGCATCATCAGGAACCAATCACGATCAAGCAGCGACCCGTCCCCGTGACATTCCCAAGGCCACCCCATCACGCCCCTCTTGACAAAAAGATAACCAGCCTGGGCTGGCTGGATGCTTTCCGACGCTTTCCGTCGCTGGGCGAAATTCTTCCCTCCAATTCCCTGAATGCCTGCCTCTACGTTCCTGCAGTTTCGCCTGGCAAAAAATAGCTACATCTGACAGTAGCGGCTGTTTCTGGACTAGTTTCGGAAGCCATGACTGATCATTGAATGCCTAGTGTTTGTTCGCTGATGCGATCGCCTGGTTGATGGCGCTTCTGACCGTTCTGTCCATTCCAGAGCCGTTTGTATGAGCTATCAGACCAGAAGGCATTTTCCCTGTGTTGCTCTTGCTCAGACTAAGTGCTTTCTCTACTGACCAGCCTGATCATTTCCTGAGTTCAGGACGGCACCGAGCTTCCATTCTGACATATGGAAGACCATAGCTTGCTTCTAAATATGTAACTTATTCCGATCCGGGCTGGAGTTCTGCTGATCGTTGCCGCGTATACAGTGACAGTAGTGTAGTGTCTGGAGCCGCTACTCTTGAGCGTATTCTTTATTCAAACTATATGGTGAGCATTCGGTCTATAGATATTCGTGACTTCCCGTTTTGTAGGATATCCCCTGTTTGCTACTCTAAGCTCTGCATATCAGGCGCAGATAAATAAGTCTCGCGCCAACGCGTTGGCTTCTACTAACCAACATCTACTTCGCACGACAACATCTCTGCTTCCTATCAAGCTTCCAGAGTTCAAACAGGGTAAAGGTCCTTAAACTGCTTAAAGGCAGTGTTTTTGTTTGGTTGGATAATCCACGTATTGCACACGACCCTAATTCGAGTTCTTACCAGAACCCAATCTCGACTACTCAAGGGTGTATCTTCGGAAGCTTGGCATCAGCAGCTGCAGCAGCATCAACATCAGAAGCAGGAGCCTCCTTCCGCTTCCCCGCAGGTCCGAGTTTCTCAAGGGTGTTATGCACCAACAACAGGAGACACGGTCCATGGCTCCCAATCAACTCCAAGCGCAACCGCTTCAGCACTGGCAGAACCAACCCCCACTACAGCAGCAGCAGCCTGGTTTTATTTCTCAGCCAATGCCATCCTGTCAGCCGCCTTTCCAGCAGCAGAGCTCCAATCAGCAGCGGAGCCTTCCTCAGCAGCCACAGCAGGCAGCACAGCAGCAGCAGCAACAGCCACAAGGCAGCTATCAGTCTTCGCAAATGCAATTTCAACAACAACCTCAGCAGGTTTCTCTACAACAAGCCCAGCAGTACCAGCAGCCGGCGATGTATCAGCAGCAGATGCAGCAACCGCAGCAGCAGACGTTCCAGCCGCAACAGCAAGCGTTTCAAGCACAGCAGCAGGCTTATCAGTCGCAGCAGCAAGCGTACCCACAGCAGCCACAACCGCAGCAACAACAAGTCTACCAACCGCAATCGCAACATCAGCCACAGGCGAATTTCCAGGCACAGCAGCTACAGCAGCAGTATCAACAGCAAAACATGTACACCCAACAGCAGCAACCAGGACCAGTGCCTCAACCTAACGTTTACCAGCAGCAGCCTCAGCCGCAGCATCAGCAATACCAACCAGCTCAGCAGCCTCAAGCGCAGCAGATTTATCAGATGGATCAGCCTCAGATGCCGCCATCCCAGGCACCTCCTATGCCAACCGCTGTCACCCAACAGCTCTCGACTCCTCAGCAGCAGCCGCAGCAGTTCCAACATCCTCAATACAACGCTCTGCAGCAGCAGCAGCAGCAGCCTATCTATTCGTCGCAGGTACCTGTGCCTTCGTTTCAGAACCAAGCGCCAGTAGCAGCACCAGCAGCAGCGCCTCCTCAGTACAATCCTGCTGCGTCTGCCACTGGCGGTCAGATGAACATAAGCCCTCCACCCCAGCAACCATTCCAACAACCGCTGGCTCAGCCGCAATTGCAGATGCAGGGGATGCCTGTGCAGGCGACATCTATGCAGGCGACATCTATGCAGGCGACGGCAATGCAGGCGATGCCTATGCAACCGACGCCTATGCAGGCGACGCAAATGCACTCTCACGTGCCAAGCCAAGCTCCCATGCAAGGTACGCACTAGCCCTCGGTCGGCACCGTTGTCCGTGTCCGATTTTTCTTCGACCATTCCACTGCACATTAACGCGATCGCTCGTCGCAACTTTCGCGCTCGCGTTTCTTGTGGTTCCGCGTGTTCTGCTTGTTGGACTCACTTTCCTGTAACAATTCGTCGTGTGACTCACCCTGTGCGCAGTGGAGTCGGGCGCGTGCGGGCCGTTCACGGTGGCGCAGTGGCAGGAGTTGGAGCAGCAGGCGCTCATCTTCAAGTACCTCGTCGCGGGAGCCCCTGTTCCGCTGGAGCTCGTTTCGCGCGTGCGCTTGTCCATGCCGCCGCTACCGTTCGGGCTTCAGACGTTTCATCCCATGGGAGCCTTCATGCCATGTATGTATGCCGAAGCAGGATGCTTTGTACAACAGCTTCATCATGATCGTTTGATGGTGTATTTTCACGTAAGGTGCCGTGTGGCAGCATCTTTCTTGCCATTGTTGCGATTAGTTTGTTGCTCAAAAAGAAGTTTTTTTTTTTTTTTTTTTTTTTTTTTTTTTTTTTTTTTTTTTTTTGCGCTCCGTGTGTGGCTGCAGCTTTCTGGGGGCCGTCGATGCAAGTGGATCCGGAGCCCTTTAGATGTCGCCGGACAGATGGCAAGAAGTGGCGGTGCGCCCGTGAGGTGGGTTTCTCTACCTGCTTCCTATTCCCGGATAATGCCACCCTCTTCTCTTATTGCCTCCTTGCACTGCGTTCTTGTCGATTTGTGTACCTGGATGTTCCCGTGCCAAGTGCTTAACATTCCCCTTTTTTTTGCCATTTCCCGCCCTGCCCTCGCTCCATCATGCCCACGCGCCTACGCGCTCGCGTGCACAGGTGGTGGCGGAGCAGAAGTACTGCGAGCGCCACTTGCACCGCGGGCGCAACCGAGCACGCAAGCTCAACGACAAGGCCACGCCCGGAACCTCCCTCGTGGCTGACGATGGGGAAACCACCCCTACAGCCACCACTGCCACCACCGCCACCACTGCGACCACGGGCACTGGTGCCGCGGATGGATGTCTCACGAGCGATGGAGTGCGGGCTATGGAGTCTGTGGACGATGGGCGGGGCGCCAGCACTGGTGTGATGGACGCCAGTGCAGGGGGTGGTGGGGTGGGGACTAGTGGTGGGGCTGGCGGGGTTGCCGACAGGACAGGCAGTCCGTCGAGTGGCAACAGCGGTGGAGATTTTGCGTCTGCGGAGTGTGCAGCAGGAAGGGAGAATGATGCGTGTGGATGGGTTGCGGGAGGGCGCGTGGGAGGGGGTGGTGGTGCGGAGAAGAGTGGGGCAACGGGCGAGGGGAATGGAAGGAGGGAGGGTGAGCCGTGTCACGGGGTGGTAACGGCGCCAGCCTCTGCTGCTGGTGCGGCTTCTGAGCCTGCAGGTGTCGTCTGTGTGCCTGCAGCTGTGGTGTGTGTGTCCACCAGAGATGTGATTTCCCCAGTGCCTTTGCCCACAGGAGTGGTGTCTGTGGTGTCTACACCCACCGGGGCAGTGGCAGGCGGACACCCGCCTCCTCTTGCTCTCCCGCCCCCTGCTCATGCTGTGGAGGGCCGCTCTCAGCAGGTGCAACAGCAGCAGCAGCAGCAGCAGCAGCAGCAGCAGCAGCAGCAGGAAAGATTGCCTGCTGGTTCCCCTCTGGCTGGGTCCCTGCCTGGAGTCGTTTCCGTGGTACAGCCAAGCCCGAAACTGACCCAATCTGAACCCAACACTCAACCCAACACACTCGCTTCTACGCGTACTGTCAACCCTGCTGTTGTTGCTGCCATGGCTAATGCATCGCCACAGCAACGGGAAATGGGGAACATCCAGGGATCTTCCAAAACTAGTGGGTGAGTGAAGCCTGGGCCACTGCATTTCCCCGCGGGTTAGTTCTCCAGGGTTTCAGGCCTCTAACTACCTGTCTGCTGATGCTCCTTGTACTGTGCAGATCGACTGTGCATGACAGTGCTGCTGCTACCCTCATGAAAGGGGACAAGCAGATTGGCGCTGCTCCCATGGATGTGGATGCACAGAAGCAAGGGAGCCAGGTTATTGCCAATGGAGTGGTTGTATCGCAGGCGAGATCTGATGCGGGTGCAGGAAAGGGGGTGGAAAGGCCAACATGTGTCAGTGGGAGCTGCAACGAGGAGGTTGTTATCGTTGATGGGAAGGACGCCTGCCGCTTGGTGTCTGGCGAAGGAGCGAAGATGGGGCAACTTTCTCAGATGCGTTCCAGAGCATCGCCAAATGTGAGTTAGTTTGCCGAGCCAGGCTTGCATTGCACGTTAGATAGATTGATGCGGAATGCCATCCATGAGTAAGTTGTGTTTCTTTGTGCTGACTCACTTATGTTTCCTTGTGTTTGCAGTGTGTGCTGCCATCTCCATTTCATGGTTCAGATGGTGGGAGTGGTGCAGAGAGCCCAGTGGACATCTCTCCACTTGGGCCTGTCCCGGTCGCAGCATCTAATGAAGCGGTGAAGCATCAGTGAGTGATAACAGACATATACCGTGCATCATATATCAAGTTATACAAGGACCCTATTAACTTCACACCAATAGCGCCACACTTTGTGCCAAGTAGGCTAGAATGCGTCTAACTAGGTAAGATTGCGGATATGGGACCTGTTTTGTCTATTCCCTTTAGTCAGGCTGGATTGATTGCTCTGATGTGAAGCTTGTATTCTTATCCCGGTCAGTTGGCTTGGGACGCGACATTTCTCTTCCCAGAACAACGGGTAGCAGGCTTGAAGTACCCTTATACACCCTGTTTCTCGCTACACTGAACTGTGCCGAACTGGTGGAAAACCTTGTTATCTTCGATTTGCCTAATTGAACCATAGCGAAACTTACTGTAACCACCGCTAACCGTGCTTTTCCCATCTTATAACCGATTTCACAATGGCGAGAAAGAGGGTGTAGGCCTATTAGGCAGACAACCATTGGCCTTGGTATGGGTTCAGGCAGCCTCGGGAATTTCGCAGCCTTCTGGCCAACCAAACCCATCCTTCTGAAGCCACGATTTATATGTTCGGTTTGGTTGCGTTGCGAGCGAGCCGGTTCCTGATGCCAGTCACACAACATCGGTTGGGGCACCACAATCAGGCTTTTTGTCATATCCCTATCCCAACCGAACTGGTAGGGCATAACTGAAGACCATGTCGTAACTACATGTCAGAGTTATATGCAACCTGAAGACCATAGGTAGTTCACTTCTAGTCAAGCTCTGCAACAATTCCGCGTTGACTATCGCAAACTCTCGAAGGGAGGTCTGTGCGACTCGCATCACTAGCATCGGCCATATGTATTGCTATTCGCGAGAATTCTGCGTTGCCGTCCTAGAAAAAACCCTGAAGCACGAAGCGTTAGGTTCCGTGACAGCCTGGTAAAGCTGCGACGATGGTGGCAAACACACGCGTTAGATAAATTGCCTGATGCGGCTTAGCTCGTAGTGTCCTAGCCAGTCGGACGGCTCCAGTTTTAGGCACATCTGCGTCAGGCGGCTAGCAGCGCGACGGCGGGATCTGTTCAGTCTTAATCCGGTTTCCTGAAGGACCAGGTGCAATGTCGTTCTTCTCGAGGCTTATAAAGGGGTCGCGTGTATCGGAGGATCTGGACCAGGAGTACCCCGTGAGAAAGGACGTTGACGTCACTCAAGTCAGCAAGTTCCGTCCTCGGGTAAGGAGAAGGAATTGATTATTTTAAGAGGCAATGAGTCATAGAGGAGGAGATTAGTCCTAAAGGGAGGAAAAGAGTTACTTAACGAAGACGAAGGAGCTTCGTAGGGAATACGATTCGGCAAGCCATTTTGACTAATTTCGTGCTTCTTCAGGTCAATGACGAAGCTTTTCGGGCCGTCAGTCAATCTCAAGAGACTACCCGTCAACCGCATCTTAGCGTCAGTCAGGCATGTCAGACAGCCAGACAATCGAACCAGGCCGTCAATAAATGATATCAGACCGTCAGTGAACTATAGGAAGCCGTCAGCAACCACATTCAACCGTCAATATTTTTTACGAGACCACCAATCAACCATCGCCAAGACTGACGATTGCCCCAGGCCTTCAGCATCAAGCACTTAACCTCAATTCCGTATCCTCTTCGTGCTTCTATTCCTAACCTCTCCTCTTCTTCCACCTCCCTCCCCCTCTTCCCCTCCCGTCCGTCCTACGCTCTCTCTTCGTTGTCCCCCCTCTCTCCCTCATTTGCATTGCAACCCCCGTTACTATCACACACTGTGTGCAGGTGAAAAAGCGACTGTCAACGGAGAGATGGGAGGCCTGTCAAGACGAGTTCGGGCGAGTGTGGGCCATTGATGCTGCACTCAAGCACATACAGCGAGGGGTGCGTGCTTCGCGAGGGGAGAGGAATGTGTGCTTGTTGCAAGGGGAGTGCGCTGATCCCCTTGAGGGGTGGGTGCTTAGCGAGGGGTGTGCTCTTATAGCGAGGAGTGGGTGCTGAAACACATACAGGGAAGAGGGTGGGGCGAGGAAATGATCAGCGAGGGTTTGGAGACATGGCATGTATGTCATGAGATGCTATGGCATGTATGTTTTGGGATGGTATGTCATGTATGTCATGGGATGGTATGACATGTATGTCATGGGATGCTGTGGCACGTATGTATCATCTCATCATGGTGTTATCACCTCGGCCTTTCTCTTTTCCTTCCATCTTCCTTTCTTATGTCTCCCCTTCCTTCTCTTTCCGCTTCCTTTCACCTGCTCCTTTTTCTTTCCCCCAACTCGTCTCAAAGTCCTTCTCACGCATATCTCTCTCCCTCGTCCATCTTGGCAGGGCGTGGAGCCGAGCATTCGAGGCGAGGTGTGGCCGTTCCTCCTGGGGCTATACTCGCCCAACAGCACGCACGAGGAGCGGGACGCCATGAGGGAAGCACGGCGGTGAGGCATCATTTCTCCCTCTCACTCTTTGTTCCTCCTGGGGCTCTACTCGCCCAACAGCACCCACGAGGAGCGGGACGCCATGAGGGAAGCACGGCGGTGAGGCATCATTTCTCCCTCTCACTCTTTGTTCCTCCTGGGGCTCTACTCGCCCAACAGCACCCACGAGGAGCGGGACGCCATGAGGGAAGCACGGCGGTGAGGCATCATTTCTCCCTCTCACTCTTTGTTCCTCCTGGGGCTCTGCTCGCCCAACAGCACCCATGAGGAGCGGGACGCCATGAGGGAAGCACGACGGTGAGGAAACCACTCCAGTGAGAGAGGCACGGCTGTGAGAGAGTCAGTGCAGTGAGGCATCATTTCTCTCTCTCCGCTCTCCATTTTCCACGAGGAGGCATCACACATTGATAGGAACCCACATCCGCAACTTCCTTTACACTCCCTCCTACTCCAAGCACTGATTTCTATGCACGGTTGAAGCAGGAGTGCGACGAGGTGGATCCGGTGGTGGACAGTGAGTGGCCCTTTTACTTCCCTCTTATGCCCACTCCCTCTTTCCCCCTCCGACCTCCCACGCCCCTCCCCCTCCCCGCGCCACCAACTACAGTAATTTCTATGCGAGGTTGAAGCAGGAGTGCAACGAGGTGGATCCGGTGGTGGGCAGTGGCGTGGTCGTGGACTTCCCTCGCGTGCTCAAGGACGGCTCTGACGTCCCCCTCCCCTCCTACTACCACGCCCCTGCTCTGCTGCCGCTGCCGCCGCCGCCGCCGCTGCTGCTGCTGCTTCTGCCCCCGCTGCTGCTGCTGCTGCTGCGTCTAACCCCCGTCCGCCCCCCCCCACCCCCCCCTTCCTTCCCCTTCCTCCCCCACCACCAACAACAGTGATTTCTACGCGAGGTTGAAGCAGGAGTGCAACGAGGTGGATCCGGTGGTGGGCAGTGGCGTGGTCGTGGACTTCCCCCGCGTGCTCGAGGACGGCTCTGACGTCCCCCTCCCCTCCTACTACAGCGGCCCGCACATCGACGACCCCTCTTCCACACATGTAGATGTGAATAGAGGAGGAGCAGCAGGGCGGGACGGTGGAGAGGGGCAGAGTGCGGTGCTGACGGAGCGGGAGAGGCTGGTGGGGCGCGTGGGGGAGGAGCGGGTGCGCAAGTGGCGCTTGGGGCTGCATCAGATAGGCGTGGACGTGCAGAGGGCGGATCGCACGCTCGTGTTCTACGAGGAGGAGGGCAACCGCTCGCGTCTGATGGAGGTTTTAGCGGTTTATTCCTGGTTCGACCCCGACGTGGGGTACTGTCAAGGTGGGTCCTGGTGGGGTGGGGCGGGCTTAGTCATGGATCGTGGGTGATGAGTGATGGGTGATTGTTGTTGTGGTGAGGTGCTGGCTGTTGGGGCACCGCAAATGTGGGATGGATTTGGGTACCGCCAAGGTGGGATGGATTGGGGTGATCATTGTAGTGGGTTCCCTTCCCTTGGCTGTTCTCCCACCTCGCAACCCTCCGTCGCGTCCAATGCAGGCGTGAGCAACCTCATGTCTCCCAGCATTCGTACCTCCCTGCTTCATACCTTTACCTTCTCACTCCCTACCTACCACCACCGCCCATCTCACTGTGATCACGCACGAACGACTTTTTGTCGCCTGTCATCGTCATTTTTCCCCCCACTCCTGTCTATTTCCCTCCCAACCTGGCCCAACTATCTCTCCCATCCCTCCGCGAGTAGGCATGAGCGACCTCATGTCGCCCTTCATTGTCACACCTCACCTTTCATTCCTTCCACTCCTTCCTTCCTTATTGCCCCTCGACCCCAACCCTTTCGCCCAACTCCCTCCCTCCCTGTGCAGGTATGAGCGACCTCATGTCGCCCTTCATTGTCACCTTCCCCAACAACGCTGATGCTTTCTGGTGCTTCGAACGCCTCCTGCGCCCCATTGTAGGCCTACGGACATGGGGAGGGGGGGAGAGGGGGGGGGGGCGGTGGAGTGGACTGTGGAGTGGAGGGGAGGAGGGAGGGAAGGTTCCCGTGCCCCATTGTCGGTCCACGGATATGGGGAGAGAGGGGGGGGAAGGGGGAGTGGGAGGGGAGGGGGTGAGGGAGGGAGAGGGGAAGGGAGGGAGGGATGGGGGGAGGGATTGTGGTACTTTCGACCTTGTGTGTGTGCCTTGTCTTTCCCATGTGTTTGTGCCATGCAGAGGAGCGACTTCGTGGGCACGTCAGCCAGCATAGCCTCAAGAATGAGTTTTCTCAGGCGCCTCACTCACAAGCATCTCGCCCTGTGTGTGCGCGTGCGCCTTGTCTTTCCCATGTGTTTGTGCCGTGCAGAAGGCCATGTCTTTCCTGGGCACGTCAGCGAGCATAGGCGTGCAGAAGGAGATTGACAACCTCAAGAACGAGCTTTGAGGCGCCGCGCCTCACAACTCCCCCTTGCGTGCACATCTTGTCTTGCCCTGTGTGTGCATCTTGCCTTGCCCGTGCATGCACCATGCAGCGGAGCGACTTCATGGGAACATCAGCGAGCATAGGCGTGCAGAAGGAGATTGACAACCTCAAGAACATCACGCGTGTGCTCGACCCCGAGCTCTACGCGCATCTTGGTACTTATCAAGCTCTGTGTGTGGTTGAACCATGTGTTTGGTTGAACCATGTGTGTGCACCCTCCCACATAGACATGGGCAGTCAAGTCGAGTTTTGGCTCGACTCGCTGACCCGACTCGACTTAAAATCGAGTCAAGTCAGTTAGAATATTTTTTTGACTCGAGACGAGTCGAGTCGAGTCGACATTAGGGGAAAGGTCGATGCATCGTCTGACTCGACTTCAGAGAGTCGAGTCAGCAACGAGTCGGCGAGTCGGCTGACTCGATTCCTGCTAAGCTGACTCGGTAATCACCAATTTCAATTGTGCGGGTTCCCGTTGTCGATTTCGCCATGCAGTTTCCTTTCCCCCGTCACTCAATTTCCCTCCCCCCTCATGCGCAGTCCTTCCGTCATTCAATTTCTTCCCCCAACCCCACTGAATTCCCCCCCGTCACTGAATTTCATGTGCGCACAAAACGACTAGGGCGGATGGGGGGTTGGGGGGGGGAGACATTTTGACATTACTACCTTGCATGAAGTGGCGACAACAATCTTTTGTTGTTGCAGGCACATCGCGAATTCAGATCTGAACGCGACTGCTTTTTTGGGGGGGGTGCGCCTCTTGAAAATACCTAAGGTTAAGTCGAGTCAAGACAGACTCGCGAGTCGAGTGACTCGATCTCGAGTCAAGGCCTGACTCGACCGCAGAAGTCGAACACGAGTCGGCAGTTATTTGTTTTTGATCTGACTATGGCTCGACTCGACTCGACTCGACTCGACTCGGCTCGACTCGGCTCGACTCGACTCGACTCGACTCGACTCGACTCAGCTTGACTCGACTCGACTCGACTCGGCTCGACTCGACTCGGCTCGACTCGGCTCGTCTCGGCTCGACTCGGCTCGGCTCGGCTCGACTCGACTCGACTCGACTTGACTCGGCTCGACTCGACTCGACTCGACTCGACATAACTCCCGACTCGACTACAACTCGAGGCGACTCGGCTCGACTCGACTCGTGCCCATGTCTACTCCCACACAAGCACTGCACCCTCAAGAACATCACGCGCGTGCTCAACCCTGAGCGCAACGCCCATCTTGGTACTTACCGACTCAACTAGGTAGGTGCCGCTAGGTAAGTACCGCTGGGTAGGTACTGCTCAGTTTACCATGTGTGTGCATTGCATCCACACAGAGGACTGTAACCTCGAGAACATCACCCGCGTGCTTTCACCCCGAGCGTTGAGACGTCTCAAAACCCACACAGAGTACTGTAACCTTAAGAACATCACCCGCGGGCCTGACCCAGAGCTATTCGCCCATCTAGGTATTGTTCCGTTCAGTTAGGTAGGTGCTTTTAGCGGCGAATTCCATGTTCTTCACAGCACGCCCCATCATGGCCATCCTTCTGTGCCCCCTGGCCTCGGTTATCATTTCCCCCATCCCCCCTGCAGACGAGATAGGAGCGTGTCCATGTTCTTCACAGTGCGCCCCATCATGTCTACCTGCCTGCTAACCCCTGTTATCATTCCCACCAAACCACCAACCTTTTAAAATCCATCCCCCCTGCAGACGAGATAGGAGCGTGTCCATGTTCTTCACAGTGCGCCCCATCATGGCCATCCTTCTGTGCCCCCTGGCCTCGGTTATCATTTCCCCCATCCCCCCGGCAGACGAGATAGGAGCGTGTCCATGTTCTTCACAGCACGCCCCATCATGGCCATCCTTCTGTGCCCCCTGGCCTCGGTTATCATTTCCCCCATCCCCCCGGCAGACGAGATAGGAGCGGGGTCCATGTTCTTCACAGTGCGCCCCATCATGGCCATGTTCCGCCGGGAGCTCTCCTTCGCTGACTCCATCTACTTTTGGGAGGTACCACTGCTGCCCTGCCTGCTATTTTTAGCATCAATTGCTATTTTTGAAAGTATTAGGCACCATGTTCCTTACAGTGCGCCCCATCATGGCCATGTTCCCCCGCGAGCTCTCCTTTGCCGACTCCATCTATTTCTGGAAGGTACCACTGCTGCTGCCCTGCTTGCCATTTTTAGCATCCACTGTTATTTTTGGAAGGTGTCCCACTTTGCTGCAAGTTGAGAATTGAGAAAATTTCGTCCTGTTCTTCTGACTGCATGTGCTTCTGATATGCATTTTTTACTGTTGAGAGGTAGAGGCTGTGTTTTCTATTCTGGGTTGCATTACCCCGCACTGGCCAGCCCCCTTATTGCCACGTCCCTTTATGGCCATGCACTACTCCTCCCCACACCGTCCCCTCTCCCCCCCCTCCCCTCCAGCTGATGTGGCCATGGGACTATGATGTTCGACTACACACCCTCCCCCCCCCCTACCCCTCGCCATTCGCTCTCTCCCTCTCTCCACTTCCCTTCCAGATGATGTGGTCGTGGGATTACGATGCTCGGGATGCGGATCTACTAGCCATGGCGGACCAATCCGTGTTAAATCACCACGCCGTGAACTTCCCTCATTCCGCCGCCTCCCCGCATGCCCTCCACCAAAACTCGTTTGCGGCCGCCACCACCGCTGCTGCAGAAGCAGCCGCAGCGGCCGTGGCAGCGTGTGAGAGCTCTGGCTCTGGCTCCTCTGGGGTCGAAGCGATCCCGTCTGGTGCGGCCAAAGCTGCTGCCAAGGCTGCTGCTGCGGAAGCTGTTGCTGCGGCCGTCTCGTCTTCTGGGAGATCTGGGGTGGACGGGGTGACGCCTGGTGCTGCCCGGATGGCCGGTGCTGCGGCTGCAGTGGTGCGGGTTGCTGGGAGGGAGGAGGAGGGGCAGCAGGGGGGGAAAGGGAGGGCCAGCCCTTTGAGACCAGGTAAGCTGGGAGGGGGGCTGGGGGGCATGGGATGCCGTTGGGGGCATCAAACTGGCTGCCGTTGCTGCGGTGGGGAGGGTTGCTGGGAGAGAGGAGGAGGGGCAGCAGGGGGGAAAAGGGAGGGCCAGCCCCCTGAGATCAGGTGGGCTTTGCAACATTCTAACATGATGCAGCTCTGATACGTTTTCCAATACATTCTCGAAATGATGGAGCTGTGTGGCATTCTGAAATGATGGAGCTGTGGGGCATTTTGAAATGACGGAGCTGTGGGTCATTTTGAAATGACGGAGCTGTGGGGCATTTTGAAATGATGGAGCTGTGGGGCATTTTGAAATGACGGAGCTGTGGGGCATTTTGAAATGATGGAGCTGTGGGGCATTTTTAAATGATGGAGCTGTGGGGCATTTTGAAATGATGGAGCTGTGGGGAACTTGTCTAACACTTCGAAGTTAGAATGGAAATAAGACCTCCGCAGCCCGCCTGTCCTCTTTTGACAGCTGTGGGGCACTTGTATAACGATTGTGAAACTAGGAGAGCGGGAAGGGGTTCAGGTGGGAGCAGGTACAAGGTGTAGGTTAGGGTGTTTAGGCAAGCCAGTGTGCGTCATGTGAGTGATGTGTTGTGATGGCAATGTGATGAGGCACCCCATTATCCCACGACATTACCCCATGTCATCACCCCATGCCATCACCCCATGCCATCACACCCCATGCCATCACACCCCATGCCATCACCCCATGCCATCACCCCATGCCATATCACCCCACCATCACTTGATCACCCATCATCACCCCTGCAGGCACACGCTCCACTGCAGCAGCGTGGGCGAGTGTGGAAGCAGCAGTCACCTCAGGCGCTCTCACGGACACCAGACAGAATTTCTCTAATCCACTGTCCCACATCCCATCGTTGCGTGACCCCCCCATCACCCTATCATCACTTCATCACCCCATCACCTCACCCCACCACCCCATGCCACCACCCCTGCAGGCACACGCTCCACCGCAGCAGCATGGGCGAGTGTGGAAGCAGCAGTCACCTCTGGCGCTCTCACGGACACCAAAAGGAACTCCTCGTCCGACCCTGCCGGTCCCGGTGGCGGCAGTGCTGCTAATTCCCGCGCCAGCACCCCCTCACTCCCCGCCAACCGCCTCCCCTCCCGAAAGCACCACAGCGAGCGCAAAGTCCCCGCCGCCGCCACCACCCCCCCCACCACCAACAACAGCACAGGCAGCCGGGCCATAGATGGGGCTCGCTCCCGCAGCTGGGCGGGCGTGGGGCCGTACAGGAAAGACGTGATCCGTTACGTTACCCTAGATGCTTCTGCTGGCAAGCTAGCTGCTAGCAAGAGCGCCAAGTACCTCTCCTCGCGGCGCTCTGCTGTGGCTCTCTGGCACAAGGCGCAGAAGCTCGCAGGACCGGTGGGTACGGCTGCTGCTACCGCTGCCATGCCGGGTGATGCTGTGGTGTTTGCTGTCTCGGCGTTTGCCGGCCGACCAATCACACCAACGTATGCTGCTGCTGCCGGTGCAGGTGCCGGTGCCGGTGCCGGTGCTGCTGCTGCTGCTGGTGGTGCTGGTACAGCTTCAGTTCCGCCGCAGCTGAATCTGCCTCCGAAGGCCCATCGACGGACAGGATCGTTCGGGCTTGGAAGAAGAGGCAGCAAGAAGCACCCCCACACCGCTGCACCTGCTTCCCCCACACCACAGCAGGCGCCCTCAGCAGCAACAACCGAATCCGCGCTAGAAGCAGCAGAAACAGCAGTAGAAAAAGCAGCAGAAGCAGGAGCGGTAACAGGAGCAAGTGCAGCAGATGCGGCGGCAGCAGCGGCAGAGGAGGCGGGGGCGATAGTGCCCCCGCAGCCGTCGGCGTTCTATGCTCTTCCAGAGTCGGCGGGGGTGGCGGTGCCGTACGTGCGGAGGGAGGAGCAGGAGCGCATGACGACCTTCTGTGTGCTCGCCATTGTGCTCAAACTGAGGGACGAGTTTATCGACGACGCCTCTGGGCTCGACGATGTGGTGGATGTGAGTGTAAAGGGGGAGGGGGTTTGCAGGGGAGAGAGGGGGCGGGCGGGGTTGGAATTGGTGAAGGCCAGCGCCCTGGGGGCTGGTTGGGTGATGCATGTGAGTGGAGGGTGGGTGGGATGGGCTGTGTGTGAATGGGAGGGCATAGCGGTGGTGGTGTGCCGTATGTGCGGAGGGAGGAGCAGGAGCGCATGACCACCTACTGTGTGCTCGCCATTGTGCTCAAACTGAGGGACGAGTTCATTGATGACGCTACTGGGCTCGATGATGTGGTCAATGTGAGTGTAAAGGGGGGAAGGAGAGAGAGGGGAGGGCGTGTGGGTGTGGGGCAGCAGTGGGGGAGTCCTGGGTATAGGTTGGGGTAGTGATGTAGGCGAGGGGTTGTGAGGCTGTGTGAATGGAAGGGGGTGGGGATGGGTTGTGTGTGAATGGGGGGGGATTGTCTGCGGTTTGCTGGTTGGGCATACGGTTGGACAGGGTGGGGGACCCGAGTGTGTGTGTGTGTGTGTGTGTGTGTGTGTGTGTGTGTGTGTGTGTGTGTGTGTGTGTGCGCGAACCGCAAAAGCGCTCATTCTCCCTGTTTACCGCACTTTCCTGGTGGTTTGCCCTTTTTTTGCACGCTTCAAAAATGAAAGTTCCCATTATCCCTTGTCTGTCCCCACCACCCTCCCTTCGCCTCCCCTGGCCCATGTGTTCTCTCCTCCTTTATGAAGATCGGTTTTGAGACGTCTCAAAACCAATCTTCATACACGTGGCTTTTCTCCCCTGGCCCATGTGTTCTCTCCTCCTTTTGTGCTTACCTCCCTTCTTCCCCTCCCCTCCCCCTCTCCCTGCGAGTGTCTCTCAGAGTTTCAATGCAGCAGCAGGGTCGTGGGACGTGATGAAGCTGTGTAAAAGAGTAGTGGATCTCTATTCTTTTGCTTCAACAAGCTTTAAACTCCTTTTCTTGTGCCTCTCCCCCCCCTCCCCTCCCTGTGAATGTCTTTCAGAGCTTCAATGCAGCAGCAGGGTCGTGGGACGTGAAGAAGCTCTGTAAACGAGCAGTGGATCTTCATCGGCAGTACCTTATACTGGTATGTGCTTATAACGAGGCAGGACCTTCCAGGCATTATTGTGCTGCAGATCGAGGCATTATCCTGGTACCTTTGCGTCTCGTTTTGAGCATGTGTGATAGCATGTGTGGTTGCATGTGTGATTGCATCAAAATCGTGTGGGTGATGATGTTGCGAGCGTGTGTCGACCGCATGAGTGCACGTGTGCCTCGTATTGATACTAGTAGTATGCCCTGCATGTAAAAAAATCAGATCCGATGCTCCCAAGTCCGCCTTTCCCCCACCTACACTGCATCCCTCCCCCATCCACCTTTCCTCCCCTTACTCTTCGCCCACTCTCCTCTCTCTCTCTTCCCACAGAAACTGGCTGCGCATGAGCTAGGCCGAACCCTCTGATCTATCAACTCGCATTTCCCTCAATTGCCTCTGTCCCATCCCGTCTTCCCCTCCACCCACCCTCCTCTCTCTCTCTCTCTCTCCCCCTCTCTCTCTCTCCCTCTCTCTCTCTCTCTCTCTCTCTCTCTCTCTCTCTCTCTCTCTCTCTCTCTCTCCCTCCCTCCCTCCCTCCCTCCCTCCCTCCCTCCCTCCCTCCCTCCCTCCCTCCCTCCCTCCCTCTCTCTCTCTCTCTCTCTCTCTCTCTCTCTCTCTCTCTCTCTCTCTCTCTCTCTCTCTCTCTCTCTCTCTCTCTCTCTCTCTCTCTCTCCCCCCTCTCCTCTCTCTCTCTTCCCACAGAAACTGGCCGCGCATGAGCTAGGCCGAACCCTCTGATCTATCAACTCGCTCGTCCCACAATCTCCTCCAGTTACTTGTAGCTTAGTCAAGCCGTAGAGCAATGGCGGCTGCAGCCACTGCCTATGGCTCAAATTTTGAGCATTTTTGTACACAATATAAATCTGAGTTGGTAGGAGCATGATTCTGGGTGCAATATTCTGGGAGCTTGATTCTGAGAAGGCCAAAGACCCAAGTGTGCCATGCGTACACTCCTAGTTTCTAGTTACCAGGTAGTGCTGTGCTCAAGTTACCAGAGCCAGGAGTTACAAAAAGGTTTGAGTGTAGATGTAGGGTTTAAACAAAACTTGGCTTGTTTTGCGTACAGCATGAGTTTCACAGCTCGTGCCAGCAGAGTGGGGCCACATTTATTCATCCAGCGAGCTGAACCATCATTACCACATCTTGAACCCTCGGCAGTTCTCAGCAGTTCTCACATGTTGAGCGGATTAGCACTCCTCAGCAGACCTCAGTGGAGCTCAGCAGTCCTCAGCGGTGCTCAGTGTTCCTCAGCGGTGTTCAGTGGTCCTCAGCGAAGTTCAGTGGTCTCAGCAGTGCTCAGTAGCAGACTAGCGGTGCTCAGCGGTCCTCGGCGGTTCTCAGCAGTTCTCGGCGGTGCTCAGCGGTCCTCAAAGGAGATGAGCAGGGCCAAGCGACGGTGCACCTGACAGCACACACGCGGTGAGAAAGAAGATTAAGAATTTCAGACATCAAAAGAAAGCAGAATTGGAAACAAGACAAACTGGAAAAATAACTTCTTCTGAGATGACTCAAACGTCACAGCTAGACTGACCTCTGAGAGCTGCTTCAGGGAATGACTCTGCTGCTGCTTCAAGTCCTGTTTCACTTGAGGAGACAGCTTGTAAGGGGGATGCGACGAGGAGTTCTCTTTCTCAACACTCTCTAAAAGCTGTGGCTGAGGGGCCGATCGGTGATGGGACGATGAGGGCAAAGGCATGGCGTTTTGGGAGGCACCCAAAGGCGATGGGCGATTGGATGCCGATTCCGAAAGGGAAGGTGAGACTGGAAGTGATAATGAGGTGGAGATCAGGGAGGATGAGGCAGAGGAGGAAGAGGAGGCAGAGGAGGCAGAGGAGGCAGAGGAGGCAGAGGAGGCAGAGGAGGCGGGGAACGGAGCTTCGAGAGAATCAGCTGGTGAGGAACGCGCTTCTTCTGATGTCGAAAGGGACGAGGTGGATGATGATGATGTGGCGCTGTCTGATTGGAGGAGCCGTTCGCACCGTTGGATGTGGTCTTCGATGCGAGCTGCCTTCCTCTGCAGCTGATCTCGCATCTTTTCCCGGGCTGCCCGGTTCACCTGCCCGCTCATCAGCTTTCTCCATTTCTTGCCCACTTCTTGCTGCCCCGAGCGCCGTTTTTCCACCATCACTCCAGTTCCCTCCTTTACCCCTCCTACTACTCCAGATGAATCCAATGAAGGGCCATGAGCTGATGTGAGTGCAACAGGTGTGACTGAAGCAGGTGTGTCAGCAGCAGAGCTGGATGTGACTGTATTGAGTGGGGCAGCAGTGGCGGGTTGTTGGGGGTCGTACCAATGGCGTGGCAGGCCAGCAGAGGCACGAGCGGCATGGTTGAACGGCCCTTTCACGCCATTGGCACACAGGGAGCGAATCACACCTGCTCAGAGATAAGGGGTTTGGGGGGAGAAGGATTGGAGTTAGGAGTCTCAGACATGCACACAATCAGGAATAGGGTATGGACCGCTGGGGCAGGCCAGCAGTGGCACGAGCTGCATGGTTGAACGGCCCTTTCACGCCATCAGCGCACAGGGAGCGAATCACACCTGAAAAGTACAAGGGACGAATGGAGAGGTAGGTATGAGAGTCTGAGAGGTGGGTACGGTACATGTGAAGAAGGTCCTAGCAGGGCCATAACAGGCCAGCAGTGGCACGAGCTGCATGGTTGAACGGCCCTTTCACGCCATCAGCGCACAGGGAGCGAATCACACCTGAAAAGTACAAGGGACGAATGGAGAGGTAGGTATGAGAGTCTGAGAGGTGGGTACGGTACATGTGAAGAAGGTCCTAGCAGGGCCATAACAGGCCAGCAGTGGCACGAGCTGCATGGTTGAACGGCCCTTTCACCCCATCAGCGCACAGGGATCGGATCACAGCTGCACAGAGAAAGAGAGGAACGGAGTGGTGGGAGCATGTGAAGAGGGTCTAACCCAGAAGCCATTCTTCTTTTGGAAACAATCAGAATACATGTAAAGTTTTGAGTCGACTCAAAACTAGAAAACCTGTAAAGGATGTATGCAGGTCCGTCCTCACACTGTGAATCCCACCCACCACACCCGCGTCCCTCCCTCCCTCCCCCTCCCCCACTCACTTGTGAAGGATATCTGTGGGTCCACACCCATGCACTCGCACACCTAGACAAACCACACCACCATGCGCTTGTAAGCTGTGAATCCCACCCACCACACCCGCGTCCCTCCCTCTCCCCCCCTCCCCCACTCACCTGTGAAGGACATCTGTGGGTCCACACCCATGCACTCGCGCACCCAGACAAACCATGCCACCATGCGCTTGTAAGCTGTGAATTCCACCCACTCAACCCCTCCAGCAACACTCACTTGTGAACGACGTCTGTGGGTCAACCCCCATGCGCTCGCACACCCAGACAAACCATGCCACCCCGACTGCCACGTGTGCCACCTCCTCCTGTGCTATCTTGGCCACCACCGCGGCACTCCTGTTGTCTCCCAACCCCACCAGCCGCTCCACCAGCCGCGGCCCCGCGTCCAACCCCCTCGCCTCCTGCCAGAAGGGATGGAAGGAGGATGGAAACAATTTTAGCCGTCTTCTCTTTTGATTCCTCCTCTTTCAACCTCCTCCTGGGTTATCATTGCCACCACCGCTGCACTCCTGTTGTCTCCCAACCCCACCAGCCGCTCCACCAGCCGCGGCCCCACGTCCAACCCCCTCGCCTCCTGCCAGAAGGGATGCATGGAAGGAGGGTGAACGGAGGAGAGGGAACGTGATGAGGCTCTTTGTTAGAAGAGCGATAGAGAAAACTCGAAACCGACTTGAACTGCAAACGGACCTCCTCTTTCAACCTCCCTTCCTTCTTTCCGCCTCTCCTCCTCTCCTACATTCCTCCTCTCCTCCATTTTCCCCTCCCCTCTCCTCTCCTCACCGCTGCTGCTACCCCCCACCCCACGTGGTCAATCCACCAATCAACGACTTGTACAAGATAGTCTGTAAGTGCAACATCATTGGCCGGTACCAAGGACTTCACATGATGAATAATCCCTAGGTGCGTCGTGATTGGCCGGTGGTACCTGCACCATGGGAATGACTGCCAGCCTGTCTTGCACATGATTGGCCGACTTCTCGCAGTCCCTCCAGAGCAGGTTGTGAGCTGGCATGTCACCGTAGCTGCAGGTGGGGATGAGATGGGGATAAGGGAAGAGTAGGGGGCGATACGGGAGAAAATGAGTTGGGGGAGAGATGGCGGAAAAATCAGTTGGGAGAGAGATGGGGGAAAAAATAATTGGCGGGGAGATGGGGGGGAGTTGGATAGTGGCAGAGACAACATGGGGAGAGTGTGGGGCCATGACATATAAGAGCGGCAAACAACTAGCCATGTGCGTCCCACATCCCACCTGCACTGCATCCCACCTGCACCGCATCCCACCTGCACCGCATCCCACCTGCACCGCATCCCACCTGCACCGCATCCCACCTGAATCGCACCCCACCTAAATCGCACCCCACCTGCATGCACCACATCCCACCTGTGCCCCATCTCTTCCAGTCGCTGCAGGCACCATGCCAGGTGTCTGCTCTCATCATCTGCCACGTGTACAAAGTCCAAAAAGAACTGACGTGGAAGCTTCCACGATTGCTCCAAGCTCTCCCTTCTCCCCTCCTCCTCCCCCTCTCCCTCTTCTCGTCCCCGCTCTTCGTCCCCCCTCTCCCCCTGCTCCAACCCCCCTCGACCCACTTCCTCCCCCCACTCCCCCTCCGCCCCTTGAGCGGAGAATCTGACAACAGTGTCCCATGCCAGGTCGATGGCGTTCAATTCCACGTGGGCTAGGTTGTGCAGCATGTGCGCTGGCCAGGGTAACGGGGAGGAGGGGCCAGGCTTGGGGATTGCCCGCGGGTGAACCTGAGGAGTGGTGGGGAGGGTCGTGAGGGGTGGGGAGGGGTGGGGGAAAGTGGGGAAAGGAAAGGTATGGGGTTGGGTGGGGACTGGGATGGGAAGAGTGGCGGAAGGGGAGGGGGAGCGCGGGGCAGGGGATGAGGAAGGGAATGCAGAAAGCTGGCCTCCCCAAGGCTCATCCCCCCATCGCATTCTTCCCCGTCCCGATCTCAACCCCGCCGCCCCTCATTCGCTTTCTCCCCTCTCCCCCTCTCTCCCACTTCCCCCCCCCTTCGCTCCCGCCAACCCCGCCTTCCCCCCACCTTACCAGCTCTGGCCGCGCCGGCCGCGCGGGTTTCGGAGGGGCAGTCGCCACGCCAACCGCCGCCGCCGCCGCCTCCGCCGCCTGACTGCCTACCGCAGCCGACTCGTCTGCGGCCGCCGCGCCGCTGGCGAGCAAGCGGTGCGCGGCGTGGGTGACGGCGATCTTAACGCGCGGGTCGGGCGACTCGAGCACCATTCGGCCGCACTCCGCCAGCGTGGCAGGCAACGCGATCCGATCCCACCCAACCGTCACACCGCCGCCGCGGGCTTTAATCGCCTCATTGCTTCCGGAGTTTTCCGCGCCGCGCGGGGAATCAGAGGAATTGTCAGAGGCGGTTGGGGGTTCGCATGAACCCTTGGGTCCCCAGAACGTGTCTGTGCGGATCGCTGCGCTTCGCCATGCTCCCAGACCCACCCATTCCCGCGGCTCATTGAGAACCGTCCGATCGTTCTTTTCATGCTCATGTGCTGGACGATCAACGGTGGATGTGTCACGGTTCCGCTGCGCAGCTCGCTCATGCTGCTGGATCTTCTCAGGATGTTCAGACAGGGTCTTTCCGTTTCCACTGTGTGTCCTGGTTAGTGACCTATCTCTCTTACGGAATTGAAGGTCGCGGGAAATGTGACTCTCGCTTATTGGCGAAAATGACACTATTATGGGCCGTGAATGACCGGAGACTACGCTACTATTATTTGAACAAAAGTTGCGGTGGCAAGGACGCCTCGACGCGACCGTTGCGAGCGGTCGTGTGAGCTTGACGCTGACGTGGCGAACGACGGAGAGCAGACACGTCGGACATGTGATACGAAAGGGGACGAAATGGAGGGCCATTTGGAGATGTATGCGAGGGAGAGAGAGGTGGACCCGTAAAATGCAGCGTGACTGATCACTCCTGGAAAGTGAAAACCTCGTAACGGGAGGAACCGAAACAACACATAAAAACTTCCTACAGAGTAACCAGGCATAGAATCGAGCAGCTAGCAAGCCTTTCAAAATTGCAAAATCTCAATGAACACCTAGTCATTCAAAGAGTCCCACACCCAGCAGCAAGCAGCACAGCCACAGCAGCACACCTTGACTCATCCGCTGCACACCATGCACTCTGAATCAGCAGCCTGGCAGCTCCTTTCCAGTCATGTCTCATCAGTGTCTTGACAATGGTATCCAGCCACGCGCTTCTATCTGCATCCAGGTGCATGCTGGTGAGCAGAATGTCAACAAGACCCTTCTGAACGTCACAGCAGAATCTGCTAGTGTCAATGGCAAAATGTGATGTCAATTTCGTTGCTAGAAGCCTCCTAACGCTGATCTCCAGCAGCTGGCTGATCTGAGGGCCTGACAGGCACTCAGAACCAGAATAAACCTGCAAGCAACATCGACCATTGAGACGACTCTCTGGTAGCAAAAGTTGGCTTGAAATAGCTAAAAGTACATGACAAGGAGCATCTTCAATGGACGGTCTTCAATTACCTCTTGAACATCAGCACGAATTTGGCTGAAATCGGACAGGACAACAGCTGGATCCTGATCCAAGTTGTACCCAGCACCGACAGCACGGTAGCCAGCAGTGCTGTCGTAAGCGCACGGGTGCCAGCCTTCAGTTCTCGACAGGTACTGAGCCGTGCTTCTAAGGCACTTCGGCTCGGCGCCGTTGGCAGCGGGCCTTGCCTCTTGCACTTGAGTCGATATTATGTTCAACCCGCCTCTATACCTGAACACGCCAGCTTGATTGCGTAACCTGGTCTCAGCATCTGAGATGCTCGTTCCAGTAATTCCTGAGACGTCATCTTTAAAGATGAGAAGACCATGACGGGTTTCCGGGGGTTGGACCTCGTAAAATTCATCTCCGCCATTTATTTGATCTTGGGCGACATCCGCAGCGAACACTGGATTCTGAGCAAGGAACACGCTCCAGAGAACAAATGGCATGAAACAGCAAATCGACATCCTTGCGGCATTAAAATTGAAAAACAAAAACTCTTCCAGGAAGAGTCACGAGCTATCATGTGACAACCTTCGCCGCAGAATGGATAATGGTCAGTCCCGCAGGAGGACGTACCTGTTGCGAGACGAGTTCATGTGGTTTCGAGGTCCATCATTGGGAAGTTCGTAGAAGAATGTGGTTTCCAAGCCTCCATTCGGATATCTCGAGGTAAGTGGAGCCATGGCGGACAAATTACACAGATATCGAATGAGACGCATGCAGCAACTTGCACATTTGAAAGGGGAATGCAAGTAGATTTAAAAACCATTTTTAACAAACTAACTTCGTGCATATGTGACACGTGCCAGTGGTCTAGTGGTAGAATAGCACCCTGCCATGCAGCTCGGTGCAGACCCGGGTTCGATTCCCGGCTGGCACATAAATTTTCGTCACCCATTTTTCAATGGGCCAAGTGTAGAGTTACGTACACGTTTTCTAGCAAGCCTGCCACAATTTTTCCCAACCCACCCACGTGCGAACATCGTCCGCCCTTCGCCGTCGCGCCGCACCCGATTCGGGATTCATTTCGATTTCAAGCCGAACGGCCCAAATGTCTCCTGATTTCACGTCGTGCGTTCTCAGAGTTGCCTTGACGCTCGGGAGCGTGAAGCTTTTTGTTGAGCAGCCCCCAGCACGCACGCAGCACAGCACACCGAGCAGGACTTGCCCTTGGCACCCGATCCGAGTCCCTCCGAAGCGACGAATGCGGACGGCAGTTCGTTTGCCGAAGCAGCCTCTGAATCCGAAAAAAAGGCTATCCGTCTCGCGCTCACCAAATGCCAGACGCGGAGAGAGAATCACAGTTGAGTTTATACAGTACCAATTTACTCTCCTCGTTTGCTCAGTCAAAAAGATATCACTAGCTCGTCGAGTCCGATCAGAGGCTCTGAAGGTCTCGAAAGGTCCCTACGCAATAATCGAAGCTCTATGGTGCAATGCTTGTAATGAAGTGCGTTTCCTTCATTTGACTGTCCTTTCCAGCACGAAAGCGCTTCGAAACATCCCCATGAAGCGCATCTCGGCACGCTGAGGAGTCGCCAATATTTCTTCCACCGACGATTCCCCATCCAGCGATACCAGTATTATTTAGCCGTCTGTTGCCCGTTTCCTCTTTGCGGACTCGAGACGCCGTACTACCAGGCCGCCTAGAAGTAGCCATGCAACGCACTGTGCTACTCGTTCTTCTCGTGCTTCTGGTGGCGCCGTGCTTCACGGCGCGGGTCGCGGCGTCGTCGTGCATCACGGCGTGCACGGTGCCGGGGACGGAATACGCCAACGCCAAATGCGTCAAGCACTGCACGGTACGTCGAGTGTTGCGCTGTGCGTTCAAGCATTGCATATTGCGCGGTGAATTAAGCACTGGACAGCGGGTCAATCATTGCGCTGTGCGTCAAGCATTGCATGTTGCGTTCAGCTTTGCACAGTAAGGCCGCATGAGGAGGTGAGTTCGGGTCGAACCAAGAACCACCTCATAAAATTCGGTACTGCATGTTCCGCGGTGCACTTGTGAGCCAATCAAAGAGTCGCCTTTAGCACCGGCAGCGCGGTACCGTGCACGCACGGCGCACGCATGACGCACGCAAGGTCAGCGTGCTCCTAGTAAGGGGCGTTATCGGCACGGGCGGGATTGTAAATTTGTTTAGCGACGTCTCAAATCAGATGCACAATCACATGGCGCACGCAAGGTCAGAGTGCTCCTACTGTAAGGGCGTTTCGGGAACGGGCGCGCGCGGCATGAGGCACGACAGCACTGTGATGTTTACACGCATTGACCCGTTCCGTCCGGCAGGAACTTAGTTTTTCTCTACTCGATGTGGTCTACTTGGAGGCGCCTCAGTGCACATACAGCCTGTTTGTGCATGAGAGTATGTTTGTTGAGACACCTCAACTGATGCGCGATGCCGCTGTGATTGTTTGTTCTCATTGTGTGTTACTTCATCAAATATCATCAACTGCTCTCAGCATCCCCGTCTTCCACCTTTGTCCCCTCTTGCGTTCCGACGACTAACAGGCATGCGCGGCCGATACACCCCCATCTTGTAACGCGTATTTCAGACCCGCCTGGAGCACGTCCTGTGAGTTACCCCTGTCTCCCAACAGCATAGGTCCCGCTTATCGCATAGCATCCGTCGTTTGTTCCTCTTCACCTAGAAGCTTCCTCAGAACGCCATTCTCCACCCACCTCCTGACAGCTCCTTCTCGTTCTCACCAGTCTCCACCCCCCTCACTTCCATTACCCTGTCTCGCCCCCTCTCGGACCTTTCAGACCGTTACATTCGGTATGAGTGCGCGACGAGCTGTCCGCCCACTCTCGCCTGGTCGCAGTTCCTGGTGGTTATCGTCGCGATTCTCTTCGTTTCCGTCGCTGTCGGCGTCACTTTCTATGCGTGCATAACAATGAGGGTTCGATGACGTGCGTTTGTCAGGGCTCTCCTCTTAGACACACCCTCCTGTAACCCCTTCGTCTCCAATGGTTCAAGACAAGACAAGCGGTCGCTTGTTGGCGCGAATCTTACACAGAACGGGCAGTCGCTAGTTGGCATACCTGGGTACTGCATTTTGGGGGCACTGGGGTTGCGGTGCAGCTTGGCAATAGTATGTAACCGAAAGGACAAGGGGCTTGGTTACTGGCCATCTTGGTGTTTTACGTCGCTTGATTGATTGGGTTGGTGTGGGTTTGTTCGTGGTTGCAAGTCTTGTGAAGGAAAATTTCACTAATAAGTGAAGGCTCCAATGTGAGCGAGAAAACCAATAAATGAATGCGGATGAAATCAGAAAGCTAGAGCATTGTCTATTCTCAAGCCCATCAGCAGCAGCCAAGCCGTTGTCCAGCCATCCTGCCTGGAACCAAACCCCCCCTATGTGACTCACCGCGTATACTACTCTTTTCCCCCTTTGCGAATAGAGATCATTAAAGCCCCTTCTAGTAGTCACGTCGGAATTTTCCAGCTATTGTGCTGTTCAATGTCGTACCAACGGCGAATGAGATGAACACAGGAACCTGGGAGGAACTCCTTCCGCGAACATAGGTCGTCTGAACGGGAAGAGCGCCACTCAGGACGGAACCACTCATGGTGAAACTCGGGGGACCACGTCTTGGCGAAGTGTTGTACCACTTTCCCGAAAGCTCGACGAGAATCTTTGGGGTGGTAACCAGCGGGTCGCAGGGGTCTGTGGAATAGACGGTCATCTTTGCGGGAGGAACTGAGACACCCTGAACCATGAGGGAAGGAGTAGGTGTGTCGCGGGCTTGGCTTCCTGTCACCACCACCTGACCTGGAGGCGTTGTTGGTTTCGCGGCTTCGCTGCTGTTTTGCTGTAGTGGTGCAATGCTGCTTCACGACGGATGATTAACCGCGCGTCGCGTACCTTTTCTGTTGATGCTGACATTGAAACGGTAAATCTGCTAAACTACTAGCTGCCCTTGATAAAAGAAGTGTTTGAAAAATGCAATCTTTGGTATCTCATTTATCACAAAGCACTTCAAGAATGGGTGTTCATTTGCCATGCATTGTTTACAGCGTTGAAATCTCAAATTGTCAAAACAACCTTTTGGATGGTGGGAGGCTTGTCGGTTAACAATGAGAATGTGGCCTTTTGTCGTTCGTTGTTGGGCTTTCTCAGAACGAGTTACCCACAGCACTTTTGCCGAAAGCGGTCCACAATCCCAAGCACCACTGCGTTCGAGCTTGCGACGGTTGTGCAGCATGTGCTCTCATAACATATAAACAGCCTGACTTCCCGTGCCAAATCTCTCCAAAGCGTAGGTCCATGAAGCTACATAAATGCGTTCAGATCATTCCTTCAGCGTGGAACAGCACTTGTTAAAACCAGGGTGCACATTCATTCCAATTTCATCAAAGGTTATCCCTTGACCGGCCGAGTTACGGCGTTTCCCGACTGTGGAGGTGGGGGAAACAATTTCTTGCTTAGCGGAAGAAAGCGGAGTGGTTCAGAGTGGTATTCCCCCCTCAATTTCCCCCAATCCAATTTCCCACACATCTTGACGGACACATCGAATGTTTGTGTACTTCTTTCTCGACCTGCCTATTCTTACTAGTAGTGATAGGCAGCACGTTACTAGCGTAGACCGCCCCATTTCCTCGCGATATGGATTTCGTCTGGCGATTCTCTGCTCGCCTGACCACGTCGCACCCGCCACTTCGGCGCTGCACGAGGCGCATAATGGGGTCGAGAGTTAGGGTTACAAGCAAGGAACTCGTCGCGTATTCTCTGCCGCGACGAGAATACTACAAGCGTAATCTGACAAAGGAACCCCGCCTCCCATCCCGTATTCATCTCGCTGACCTTCACTAAAAAAAGTGCGGCCCCAAGGTCGCGCCTACAGCTAGTGTGCGCTCCGCGTCATTGAAGGAACGCGTCGGCAGCGTCTCCCCTCCTCCTCGCCTCCGCGCCACCTCATTACCTCGCTGCCTCGCCTCCGCGCCTCCTCGCGGTAGCGCCACCTCCCCACCTCGCCTCCGCGCCTCTTCACGGGAGCGCCACCTCGCCTCCTCGCCTCTACGCCAAGTTTCCACCCCGCCAGCACGCCACCGCACCAGGGTGCCCTTCCCCACTTTTACTTTCCCACCCGTTCCTCTTCCCCCACCCCATCACCCTACTTTCCCGCCAATCCCTCTCTCCGCCGCCTTCGAGTTCGGCACCACATCACGCTTCCTCCTCCCCCTCTCACTCAGCGTCACCGCAAAAACCCCTTCTCTCCTTCCCCTCCCCAGCCCTCCATGCCTGCAGTCTCACTCTCACCTGACCCTCTCGACACCACCACACTCATCCTCCTCTTTCAATACCCACCACACCACTCAGCACGAGCAGCTGCAGCCCCGACCCTCGCATCCTCGCCACCACGCCTCCTTGCCTCTATGCCTCCTCGCCTCTCTGCCTCCTCGCCTCTCTGCCTCCTCGCCTCTCTGCCTCCTCGCCTCTCTGCCTCCTCGCCTCTCTGCCTCCTCGCCTCTCTGCATCCTCGCCTCTCTGCCTCCTCGCCTCTCTGCCTCCTCGCCTCTCTGCCTCCTCGCCTCTCTGCCTCCTCGCCTCTCTGCCTCCTCGCCTCTCTGCCTCCTCGCCTCTCTGCCTCCTCGCCTCTCTGCCTCCTCGCCTCTCTGCCTCCTCGCCTCTCTACTCTCACTCCTCTACTCTCACCCCTCTACTCTCACCCCTCTACTCTCACCCCTCTACTCTCACGCCTCTACTCTCACGCCTCTACTCTCACGCCTCTACTCTCACGCCTCTACTCTCACGCCTCTACTCTCACCCCTCTACTCTCACCCCTCTACTCTCACCCCTCTACTCTCACCCCTCTACTCTCACCCCTCTACTCTCACGCCTCTACTCTCACGCCTCTACTCTCACGCCTCTACTCTCACCCCTCTACTCTCACCCCTCTACTCTCACCCCTCTACTCTCACCCCTCTACTCTCGCCCCTCTACTCTCACGCCTCTACTCTCACCCCTCTACTCTCACCCCTCTACTCTCACCCCTCTACTCTCACGCCTCTACTCTCACGCCTCTACTCTCACCCCTCTACTCTCACGCCTCTACTCTCACCCCTCTACTCTCACCCCTCTACTCTCACCCCTCTACTCTCACCCCTCTACTCTCACGCCTCTACTCTCACGCCTCTACTCTCACCCCTCTACTCTCATGCCTCTACTCTCACCCCTCTACTCTTGCCGGTCGCTCTCATCTGTGACCTCACCTCTTCCTCATCACTCTCCCATCCTTACTGCAGGTGCTCCGCCCTGACCCTTGTTCCTCTTCCTGGTGGAGATGATTAGCTTCCCCTTCCTTTCTACTCGTGTCGGCGTGCACGAGTCCCATCAGGATTGCACTACTCTCGCATGCTTACATGTAACGAACTTGATTACCAAGATCGCCCTGCCCTGCCCTGCACTTCCTACTCTTTCCTTCGAGCCCTCCAATCTCCAAAATGCCGGCACTTCAACTCCTTTGTTCCTCTAATTACCGGTCCCTCCATTCGACTCTGTCCAGTGGTCTGCGTTCCCCTTCCCCGTTTGCCCAGGGAACCATGTGCTGTCATGTCCCATGTGTCAATGCTCATGCTCCCCATCTTCACTCCTCACCTCACATCCTCGCAATCATGCCCGCTGTGCCCTCCATACCACAGGTGCCGCCTGTCATCAACAACCTCACATCGCCATCTGGCATGCACATGCGGGTGGGTATGGGTGTGCGCTCTTCCTCCCCTCTCTCCCCACTTCATCCCCTAATTCCTCTCTTCCACGCCTTGGCGCTCCCAATCTGCCCTCTCACTTCTCATTCCATCCTCTCTCCTCCCTGCCCTCCAATTTCCTCAAGGCAACCATTCTCTCCTCTCTGTTCTGCCTCTTTCACCCGTGCCCTCGATTCTCCTCAATGGCGGCAGGCACACGGTGCGCCTACCTGCCGCGAAGAATCCACACAGGGCTCCTGCAGCGCTATGCTCACACGGCAATATTTTATATCAATCTGGGTGTACCCTCATCATGATGAAGCTACACATTTGTTGTAACGTGTCATGCTAGCCGTCAATATAAAGCAATGGGGTATTTCACACGACAAAAAGAGCCAATAACACACGTCGATCCTTACTATTGTACGCACATGCAGAATCTTGGTAAATAGTAAATAGGGTTGATAGTAAGTCCTGGGGGTTGTATGGTACTATGGGGGTTATAGGTATTACAGAATTACCCTTGGCACCATGTCAGAAGCACAACACCACGGTGTGATCCATTGCGTTATGGCACATAAGATACACATAGAGGCGCGTTTACTAGTGCACTTGTTTCCGCGTTGACATAGAGCAGACAACGCCATGCCGCGCCTCCACTTTGAATACCCTACCACTGGTCCCATAAATCCAGTCGAGCTGCAATGCACAGAAAACCGGAGATGCTCATGGAGGTGATAGAGCAGGTGCTGGATTCGTATTATGCGCAGCACAGGCAGCAGAGCCCCACAATATACAGCCCCACACTCTGCTGCCCCACACTCTACGGCCCCACTCTCTGCTGCCGGCCAATCTGCGGCCCCACACTCTACGGCCCCACTCTCTGCTGCCGGCCAATCTGCGGCCCCACACTCTACGGCCCCACTCTCTGCTGCCGGCCAATCTGCGGCCCCACACTCTACGGCCCCACTCTCTGCTGCCGGCCAATCTGTGGCCCCACACTCTACGGCCCCACGTTCTGCTGCTCCACGCTATGCTGATCCAGTGCCCGCCACTCTGCTGCCCCGACCCTTGGCTGCCCCACCATCTGCTGCCCCACGCTCTTCAGCCCCACAGGCCAATTGCCCCACACTTTGCTGCCCCACACTTCTCTGCCCCACGCTCTGCTGCCCCACTCTCTCCTGCCCCACGCTCTGCTGCCCCACTCTCTCCTGCCCCACTATCTGCTGCTCCACACTATTATGCTGCACCGTGCCCTTCTGCCATGCACTCTGTTGCCCAACGCTCTGCTGCCCCACCCTCTGCTGCCCCACCCATTGCCCCCACTCCATCTTCGTTCATCATCGCGTGTTGAGTAAATCACCTGTGTGTGATGGGTTTAGGGTTTTTCGAGTACATTGAGTTTGCCCTTGCACCTAAATCAAAACCTGACCAGTAAAAGAATGAAGGGCAGTCATAATGCATCAAAGTTATGGTACATAGCGAACAGGAATTGAAAAGATTAGAAGTAGGAAGAGTAACAACATATGAGCACATGGACTGGGAAACATACCAAAAATAGCTCGTTGCGCACGTGGCGGAGGCCGTCCACCCGTCCTGCGACGCTTTTGCGGCGTGGACAGAGGTGCCGGTGTCACATCCAGAACTATGGCGGCGAAGGGAGGGGGTCTAGAATGTGGGACAGGTGTGCACGGAGTGGTTGGTGCAGAAGCATCTGAAGTATGGTGTACGGGTGCATCCGAGTCTGCTGCCCGACCCAAGCAATTCCAATCATGCAGAATCTCGTCGACCCAGTCCCATCTCATTGGTCCAAGAACCTTGTCGGTCTTTCCACGCCGAACCCTTGTTGCACGACGTATCCTGATCTTCGTTGCAATAACCTCACGGTCAAGCGAGTTGTTCCAGTGCAACGCTGTAAGGCCTATCCTGGCTCGCATGCTGCCATGAAATCGAATGCGTTTTGGGGCATACTTGCATATCAGTGAATGGAAAGACTCGTTCATCCAGTTGCTTGCCCCCAACACATATGGTGCCATCTGTTTTGGTCCACAATTCTCTGACACCCAAGCCTTGAACCGCACATGTGTCGTGCCCCCGCGTTCGTACAAGGCACTTTCCGGCCCCCATTCGTCCGCAACACACCTCGATATATCAGAGCCTCGCGAGCACCCAGAATGGTCTCCTGCCCAATGGTCCGCTGCACTCCCGATCTCGGCCGCCACCTGCTCTGGTGTCATATTTGCCCCTTCCCTAGCTCGTGCAGCACACACGGCCATTACGTGGTGGAAATGAATGCAGAATCTCTGAGACACCGACACTTCGCGCACGATCGTCCCCGAACCGCCTTCCTCTTCTCCTTCGTCCCCTTCAGCCACTCTCTTACCTTTTCCAGCCCCCCTCTCAACCCAACGTCTTTTCCGCGACGGTTCTTCTGCAGCCCTGTCAAGCCTCTGCGCCGCTGTTGATTCAGAATCATCTGAAGGGTATGGGGAGTTGCATAAATTATGGGCTTATTGAAAGGGGGTGGGGCAAATGAGAAGGGTAAAATTGGTAAAGTCGACATGATGTGCGAATATGGGTAGAATTATCATATCAAGACCTTGCATGATTGTGTGGGTGCAGAATTTGCAACCCACCAGCAATGCCTTTCCCACTAGTACCCAACCACTACCCTACCATCTGCTGCCCCACCCTCTGCTGCCCACCTCTCTGCAACCCCTCACTCTAATGCCCATACTCTAATGCCCCCCACTCTACAGCCCGCCTCGTAGGGGCCCCGCCACTCTGCTGGTCAACACATGACGGCCCAGTACTCTGCTGCCCCATCCCTGCTGCATAAAACTCAGGTTCTCTGTTCAGCTGCCCCCCCTGCTGCCAGAGTGCTGACAAACCAGCCCCACCCTCATCTGCCCCGCTCTCTGGTTCGCTGCTGGCATGATGCCTACCAGTGTTTGTGAAAGGATGACATACCTGCTGCACTGCCATCGGTAGGAGTCGATTTGTCAGCATTTGCCTGGGCCTCCTCGCCTTCGTACCTCCATGCCTCCTCTCTCGTGGACCTGCCACACTGTCCAGCTGCCTGGAGGGTCATGAATGAAACGACCGAACACGGTCGCACCCCGTGCTCAGGATGAGGGTCATACCCCCATGGCTCCCGTACATCACTGTACTCAACATTCCGGAGTGCAGCTTCAGACCCTTCTGGTACGACAGGCGCGTCCTCAAGAATGTCAACAGACACAAAACCCGAGACAAAATCGCTGCTAACCGTGGCTCGTCCATCCCAATCACTCTCACATCCAGATGCCCACTCGATTGGGACATCAACATGTGCAGCTCCTTCCACACCTGTGCCCCCCCCCTCTCTCCCGCTTCCTCGATCCGCATTACCCCGCTGCATGCCGGCACTAGAAGCACCCCTACCATGCCCATGACGCACAATCTGAACGCGCCGCATTTCTGGAAATTTCCACGGCGAGTGGCTACTGCTAATATCCTTATACACGAATCCCCTCATCTGACAGATGGTCTTTATCATTTCTTTCTTCGTTGCCTTCTTCCCCACACCCTTCATGTCCTTTCCCAGCCGCTCGCGCAACCAAGCTCGTAGATGCTCGAGCGGGACATCCCATAGGTGTTCGTTGTTTTTAGCACCCTCAACACGCCGCTCATCCTTGCGTGCGTCGATCATATCCCTGTCCAATTTCCGAGCTAGCAACTTCCCTTTATGCCAGACGTCCATCTGGTGAAGTATCCCAGTCCCAATTATCGCCGCTTTGTATGTTCCGCCCTCATCCGTAATAATACCATGCACTTTGAAGCCCCAGTTTTTTAGATCAGTCATCCCCTTACGAAATGCAATCCCCTCCAATTGTGTGGCGGACACATTCCCCTCTTCCGTGCGTGATACAGTAACACAGTGCAGTACCTTGCGAGTGGTGGGGAAGTGAGTAGCTGGGTGGGGGGAAGTAAGTAGCTGGGTGGGGGGAAGTGAGTAGCTGGGTGGGGGGAAGTGAGTAGCTGTGTGGGGGAAAGTGAGTAGCTGTGTGGGGGGAAGTGAGTAGCTGTGTGGGGGGAAGTGAGTAGCTGTGTGGGGGGAAGTGAGTAGCTGGGTGGGGGGAAGTGAGTAGCTGTGTGGGGGGAAGTGAGTAGCTGTGTGGGGGGAAGTGAGTAGCTGGGTGGGGGGAAGTGAGTAGCTGGGTGGGGGGAAGTGAGTAGCTGTGTGGGGGGAAGTGAGTAGCTGGGTGGGGGGAAGTGAGTAGCTGGGTGGGGGGAAGTGAGTAGCTGTGTGGGGGGAAGTGAGTAGCTGGGTGGGGGGAAGTGAGTAGCTGTGTGGGGGGAAGTGAGTAGCTGGGTGGGGGGAAGTGAGTAGCTGTGTGGGGGGAAGTGAGTAGCTGGGTGGGGGGAAGTGAGTAGCTGGGTGGGGGGAAGTGAGTAGCTGTGTGGGGGGAAGTGAGTAGCTGTGTGGGGGGAAGTGAGTAGCTGGGTGGGGGGAAGTGAGTAGCTGTGTGGGGGGAAGTGAGTAGCTGTGTGGGGGGAAGTGAGTAGCTGGGTGGGGGGAAGTGAGTAGCTGGGTGGGGGGAAGTGAGTAGCTGTGTGGGGGGAAGTGAGTAGCTGTGTGGGGGGAAGTGAGTAGCTGTGTGGGGGGAAGTGAGTAGCTAGGTGGGGGGAAGTAAGTAGCTGGGTGGGGGGAAGTGAGTAGCTGGGTGGGGGGAAGTGAGTAGCTAGGTGGGGGGAAGTAAGTAGCTGGGTGGGGGGAAGTGAGTAGCTGGGTGGGGGGAAGTGAGTAGCTGGGTGGGGGGAAGTGAGTAGCTGTGTGGGGGGAAGTGAGTAGCTGTGTGGGGGGAAGTGAGTAGCTAGGTGGGGGGAAGTAAGTAGCTGGGTGGGGGGAAGTGAGTAGCTGGGTGGGGGGAAGTGAGTAGCTGTGTGGGGGGAAGTGAGTAGCTGGGTGGGGGGAAGTGAGTAGCTGTGTGGGGGGAAGTGAGTAGCTGTGTGGGGGGAAGTGAGTAGCTAGGTGGGGGGAAGTAAGTAGCTGGGTGGGGGGAAGTGAGTAGCTGGGTGAGGGGAAGTGAGTAGCTGTGTGGGGGGAAGTGAGTAGCTGCGTGGGGGGAAGTGAGTAGCTGTGTGGGGGGAAGTGAGTAGCTGTGTGGGGGGAAGTGAGTAGCTGGGTGGGGGGAAGTGAGTAGCTGTGTGGGGGGAAGTAAGTAGCTGGGTGGGGGGAAGTGAGTAGCTAGGTGGGGGGAAGTAAGTAGCTGGGTGGGGGGAAGTGAGTAGCTGGGTGAGGGGAAGTGAGTAGCTGTGTGGGGGGAAGTGAGTAGCTGCGTGGGGGGAAGTGAGTAGCTGTGTGGGGGGAAGTGAGTAGCTGTGTGGGGGGAAGTGAGTAGCTGGGTGGGGGGAAGTGAGTAGCTGTGTGGGGGGAAGTAAGTAGCTGGGTGGGGGGAAGTGAGTAGCTGTGTGGGGGGAGGTAAGTAGCCCAATGACCGGGAAAGAAGGTAGCGCGGTGGGGGAAAGGGAAGTAAGTAGCTACTTGGGGGGGAAAGTTAGTAGTTGGATGGGGGGATGTTAGAAGCTGGGTGGGGAGAAGTAATTAGCAGGATGGGGGGGAAGGTCATAGCTGGGTGGGGGGATGGTAGACGCTGGATGGGGGGAAGTAGGTAGCTGGATGGAGGGAAGTAAATAGCCTGCTGGGGGGTAGTAAACAGCTGCATGGGGGAAACTGAATAGCTGGGTGGGGGAAAGTAAGTGCCGGTGTTGGGTAATACAATGAGAGTGAGGGGCGTGGAGAATGCAAGTAAGGGCTGCGTGTGGAAATGGTTACATAGATGGCCACCTTTTTATTTTTCAAAGTCGACCGCGCGAATGTCTTCTTGTCGCGTGGACAGTAGTCACGGTGCGGGTGCGGGCGATGAGTCACGCGTCGCCTTCCTACCGTTACCCTATTCTTCGGTTTGCGAGTTTTATGCCTTTCTACCCTACTTTTCGCGCTGTTCTATGGCGATAATGCAACATGCCGCCTCCGCACCTCCACGCCCCATAATCATATGTCATTTGGGGGGCTCTCCACTGACGAAATCCTTGTTGTGCTGCCCGGTTCCCTCCCCATTGGTGTCCTGCCACGATGGTTCTATATATCTAAACACACTCGCTGCGATTCCACACATTTCGCCTAACCCTATCTCTTATAACCCTAAACATAATCCCTTCGCGTCATTAGAAGAAATGCGCGTTGCTTGCCTATTCACATTCTCCGGCGCCTGGTTCCTGATGTGTATTGGCGGTTGGTTGGTGTGGCGAGACAGTGCGAGACGTTTTCTTCACTCATCACTATGGTGTCTGGGAGGGTGGCGGAAATGGAAGGTCGTCCAGGTGGAAATTGGGTGCCAATGGGCCATGTTGAGCTCTCTGTCCATTGTCTCGCTACAGTGCGATCGTTTCATGCGAAATGTGTCCAGGTCATTCCTTCCGTTACAGATTAGCGCAGAACAGCATTCAGGTGCAAATCCTGCTTGTACCTACCTTCCCTAGACCGCACGTGGCAGCTTCATTTCGGGAGGGTATACCTTCATCATAAGCAGCCTTTATACGAGGGGTTTCATTTCGAGGGTCTTTATACGAGGATAAGTTACGTCTTTTCTCAACTTCTGAAGTTTCCAAACATCATTATTAGGATGCAGCATACACAAACATACATTGCATGCTGACTTGCCACGACACATTATCTTCAACTTCATTCCTGTCCCAACTTCTACTGCATAAGAGGCGGCGTAAACATACTGTTACGAGTGCAATTAAGTGAGCGAGCGAGAATTGCACTATCGAAGTAAGAGCACAATGAGCGAAGGCATGAGCAAATAATATATAGTGAAACTACAGTGGTAACGGTAATGCGTGAAAATGGGGTGCGCGACGGGCCTGGCGCCGAGGTTGGGAAATGCCGAGGCGGAGGTCCATAGCGCGGGTTACCAACCGGACCGTGAGGTTGGGTCGCGTCGTGAATAGTGACGGGAACAGTGTCGGGGCGAGTGTCGCGAGTGGTAACGGATTACTGTTGAATGCTGTTGGCGGGAACAGTGGTGTACGCGCTGAGCAGGGACGCAAATTAAGGAAACGGAATTTTCCTTACAAATACCTACATATCTGTAAATATGTATGCATGCATATTTGTAGGTATATACGTATGTGTGTACGTATGAATGGAGGGAGTGAGTGAGTGTGTGTGTGTGTGAGAGAGAGAGAGAGAGAGAGAGAGAGAGAGAGAGAGAGAGAGAGAGAGAGAGAGAGAGGCCCAGAATGTGATTCCGTTCATTATAAACTTCCATGCCTAGGCCAATATGCTTACTAGGATTGCCGTTGCCTTGCCTGTACCTACACACACAACAATGCAGGACTGCTTGAGAGAGAGAGAGAGAGAGAGAGAGAGAGAGAGAGAGAGAGAGAGAGAGAGAGAGAGAGAGAGAGAGAGAGAGACCCTCTGGA